GGTAAGCTTGATGCAAGCTTACATTGGCTATTTATGCTTGCTGTAAGCTTGCCAGTTAAATTTCATACAGAATTCTTTAACTTGCACACTAAGCTTACAAGAACAATTTTTGTCACATTAGCTTGCGCAAGCTTCTTTGAAAATTTGGACTTAGAAAATTCTGTGATTAAAGCAGTCTGGGAAATAAAAAGTAGTGAAAATTTTCTAAGCACAAAAACTTTAAAATGTTTATAAAAATCATTTCACTCAAACTAATTAGCATTTATATAATATAATGGGATTCAAATTATAACATTTCTTTCAATTAGTTTTTATCTGCCTGTCTAATACATTCTATGTTTTTAAGATTCATATAACTTTATCAAATTTTTTAATTACTGTTATTAAAATCTTGTCACTTTCTCAAAATTATTAATTAATGCCATATGTCAAAAATTAGAGAACACCACAATGTGGCATCTGCGTGATGTGACAGTAAAAAAAAGAAAATCACCCAAAATCAAAATGAGAGAGGAAATCATACAAATTTTTAATAAAAGTTTTCAACACAATTAAACTAAGATAAAGTCAGTATTTTAAATTAATTATTATGAAAGTTAACAAAATTCACATTTCTTAACAACTGTGAACAATTACAATCAAATATAATGTCAACCTTATATATTGTCTAATGACTAATTGTTTTTTTTTTTCTTTCAATCACTTGTTAATTTGTTTTATTTATGTCTAATTTTTAATTCAGTATATCCCTTCTTTTAATTAAACATTAACTATCTTGTGCAATAGTTATTGATAGCATAATCATGGTCTCCCATGAGTATTAATTGTAGACTGTAACAGTAACATACTGTACATGCCATAAACATTTGTAACTGGTCAGAGTGAGTGGTTGGTCAAGTGCAACTAATTACTTTCTCCCTGCTGTTTACATAATAGCCCAGTGTCAAACTCACCTATCTAATATAAAGGAAAGTGTGAGATAAGTGGGGTTTACAACATGTAATCTAATATCCTGAACAAGTCTGGTATCAGGATCTGATCTCAGAAAATTCAAATATTACTCAGGAAGTTCATTTGGACCTCAGTGCTTATAACATTAGGAGTAGAGTTAAACATGTGACTTAAGTGCCATTTAGATGAAACAACTTAATAAATGTGAACTTTAATAAAATTATAATGGGACATTAAATGAGTTCTTCATTCAGATGGAAATGGAAATTTACTAATGTTCAATGGAATAATGGTAAGTTATTTACACTATTTTCATACAACAGTCTTTTCAAATTTACCTTGTAAATGATTTACACTTTTTAATTTTAGTTTTTCTTCATAAATTTTACATATGTGCTGGTGTAAATCTTTTTCACTTAGTGTTATTGAGTGGGAATTTTCAAATCTGCCCTTTTTACCAGTAAATTTCATTCCTGGTCATGATTTTTCATTAATAAACATTTACATTCTTGGGATATTTCAGTAAATTATGGGTTTATATTAACTGAGTACTTGAAACTTTTTTAACTATCAGAAAAGCATTTTGAATTTACTCAATTTATTATAAATAATTATGTATTCAGTAGTGAATTTTTTTAATTTGCAGAAAACTTACAATGCCCACAGGTACCATAGAAAGTTTCAAATTATAATGATGATGAAGAAGAAGAAAATTGAGTTGATAACAGAAATAATTGATGGTTAGTTTTGTTATTCAATAAGGTTAGATAACTGTTAAAAATAATGAAATAAATAATAATCATTGATTTGAACAATTTTCAATCTTAGTTAAACAACTTTCAATGTAGTATATTATTTCCATTTAAACAAAATGATTGTATAGATTTAATTTTTGTATATTAAAGATTTACTTACTTAATTACAATATTATTTATCTTAAAGGTTTGTAAAATACTTAAATGCATGTATTACTTTCACTAGTTAAAATTGTTGTCAATTTAAAAGCAAAAGTTCTAATAAAGATTCATGATCAATTCTGATGTAGCAGTCATTTAACCAGTAGGAATGCAAATAATTTTCAAATGTATTGTTTATAACAAAATTTTATAAACAATTGCATTGCTAGATATAGATCTACATGTTGTTGACATTATTTATAGCAATATTTAACAAAATTGAAAACTTATAATTGCAGCTTGAAGAACAATTTTAAATTTATAAATAATTATTAAACTGGCAAGATTGCCAAAAAATAAAATTTTACTATAATGCCTAAAAAATAATATTTTACTATGCATGTGCTTTCAAATATTGATCTTTTTAATTACATGATAATAATACCAATCATATGCATACAAAACATAAATAATTAATTATTATACAAATATTTTTTAGTGTGTACACCAGGCTTTAAATGATATGGATAGTTGTGTGCCACAGTGAAGCCATTCTGAAAGACTGCATCTGTGATGGACATGATTTATCATATTACAACATGGATACTTATTTGGAAAAAAAACAAACAGTTATCTTAAATAAATATTTTGTTTTATATTTTCTCAGCTTGGTAGACATTTATTATTTTTTGTATTTGTGCAATAGAATAATGTTTGTTAAGATCTAGAAATATTATTTGAAATGAATAAATTAATTTTATTATATATTAGTTTATTAAAATATTATACCTTATTACATGACAATTAAAATTTTTTATTTGTTACAAGGCGGAATTTTTTCCGCCTAGGATTTTTCCTGCGGAATCCGCTTAAGGTAGGCGGAATCCGCCTAAGGTAGGCGGAATCCGCCTAAGGTAGGCGGAATTTGCCTAAGGTAGGCGGAATCCGCTGACATAGCCAGACTTTAAGCGGAATATTTAAATGAGCTAAGGCGGATTCCGTCTAGATAGGCGGATTCCACCTTAGCTCATTTAAATATTTCGCACCATATTCCGCTTAAGGTCCGCCTAAGAAGCAATATTCAACTCTATTCAGTTTAAGGCGGAATCCGCTTTACTACATAGGCGGATTCCACCTACAGTCAGGGCGGAAGTTTTCGTACGGGTGGTCATGATTTTTCATTAATAAACATTTACATTCTTGGGATATTTCAGTAAATTATGGGTTTATATTAACTGAGTACTTGAAACTTTTTTAACTATCAGAAAAGCATTTTGAATTTACTCAATTTATTATAAATATATGTATTCAGTAGTGATTTTTTTTAATTTGCAGAAAACTTACAATGCCCACAGGTACCATAGAAAGTTTCAAATTATAATGATGATGAAGAAGAAGAAAATTGAGTTGATAACAGAAATAATTGATGGTTAGTTTTGTTATTCAATAAGGTTAGATAACTGTTAAAAATAATGAAATAAATAATAATCATTGATTTGAACAATTTTCAATCTTAGTTAAACAACTTTCAATGTAGTATATTATTTCCATTTAAACAAAATGATTGTATAGATTTAATTTTTGTATATTAAAGATTTACTTACTTAATTACAATATTATTTATCTTAAAGGTTTGTAAAATACTTAAATGCATGTATTACTTTCACTAGTTAAAATTGTTGTCAATTTAAAAGCAAAAGTTCTAATAAAGATTCATGATCAATTCTGATGTAGCAGTCATTTAACCAGTAGGAATGCAAATAATTTTCAAATGTATTGTTTATAACAAAATTTTATAAACAATTGCATTGCTAGATATAGATCTACATGTTGTTGACATTATTTATAGCAATATTTAACAAAATTGAAAACTATTGCAGCTTGAAGAACAATTTTAAATTTATAAATAATTATTAAACTGGCAAGATTGCCAAAAAATAAAATTTTACTATAATGCCTAAAAATAATATTTTACTATGCCTGTGCTTTCAAATATTGATCTTTTTAATTACATGATAATAATACCAATCATATGCATACAAAACATAAATAATTAATTATTATACAAATATTTTTCAGTGTGTACACCAGGCTTTAAATGATATGGATAGTTGTGTGCCACAGTGAAGCCATTCTGAAAGACTGCATCTGTAAAGGACATGATTTATCATATTACAACATGGATACTTATTTGGAAAAAAACAAACAGTTATCTTAAATAAATATTTTGTTTTATATTTTCTCAGCTTGGTAGACATTTATTATTTTTTGTATTTGTGCAAAATAATAATGTTTGTTAAGATCTAGAAATATTATTTGAAATGAATAAATTAATTTTATTATATATTAGTTTATTAAAATATTATACCTTATTACATGACAATTAAATTTTTTTATTTGTTACAAGGCGGAATTTTTTCCGGTGAGGATTTTTCCTGCGGAATCCGCTTAAGGTAGGCGGAATCCGCCTAAGGTAGGCGGAATCCGCCTAAGGTAGGCGGAATTTGCCTAAGGTAGGCGGAATCCGCTGACATAGCCAGACTTTAAGCGGAATATTTAAATGAGCTAAGGCGGATTCCGTCTAGATAGGCGGATTCCACCTTAGCTCATTTAAATATTTCGCACCATATTCCGCTTAAGGTCCGCCTAAGAAGCAATATTCAACTCTATTCAGTTTAAGGCGGAATCCGCTTTACTACATAGGCGGATTCCACCTACAGTCAGGGCGGAAGTTTTCGTACGGGTAGTGTGCTTGCCATTTTAAATTATTTTGTAAAAAAAAAAATAAACAAAACAAAACAGTGCATGAAATAATCTCATATATTATGCCCTTTTAATCATCAACCAATATGCCCAATAATTGCTTTTATTTATGGTAGGTAAATAAATACTACAATGTATATTCACTGAGATTATATTCACCCAGATTTTACACTACACAGATCAGAGCTCTGATAAAACTCTACTGACCAGCAGTTTCCCATTATCTATGCATGACTGGTCATTCCAACAGATCAGGCTGTTCCATGTAATTATTTTGGGGAGAGATAACATTATAAATTGTATATGTAGAATGTGTCTAGGAGTCATATTGCAATTTTTTGTACAAAAATTTGTAATTGTTATTTAAAATTTATATATATCTATTTGTTATTTGATTTTTCTTTTACATTCAATGAATGAAAGTTAAGATGATGAGTAAATTAACCCTGTTTTACATAATGATGGACCGGTCCATTATATAGTAAACTGTTGTGAATTTTGAATTCTAAGATATCTGGGTCAGCAAAAAGAGTGCAAATTACAGAGGATCATGGTACTTGATATTTTAACAATTTTGGAGTAAAGTTTTGTTTAAGATCTCAAAGTGTTAAAGTAATTGGTATGATAACATGGGACAAGGAGATGTATAACATAATCAGGTAATTATTAACTTTTAGTAACATTAATTTTATATGACGACTATCAATACTAAGTAGCCGACTAAAATTTGTAACAAGAGGTCATTGTTGTTTTATTAGTATTTTCAACTTCATACATTTGTTGTTTTTTTCTGATAATTGTTTTAAATTTTTAATACATATATTATTTGCAAGTTAAAAATTATTCAATGATTTTTTTGTTAATCTATATTGTATAAATAGCATGTAAGTATATCTTTTTCATTTCCTGGAAATTAAACAAATTAAATGAATTTGATTAAATAGGACTAAATGGTACAATCAGTAGTTTTGTACAGTTGAACAGGGTCATCATAATCATTTATTATTTTACATGTTTTGTGTTGTCTTTCCATTATGGAACAATCTAAAATTACATTTTACACTCATAATTTGCAGGCTGCTCAGGGACTTAAGTGCTGACTGTGAGATGCCAGGTGTTTAATAATGATGTGCAGTATTAATCCTGAAAAGGTATATTTTTAAATCTCTATACTTAACTATTCAACATCTTTCCTTGAAAAATACATAACCAGTACTAAATAGTGTCACAAATAAAGCAGTCAGTTAATTCTTATACAGAGCAATTCTTAAACACTTGTACACTTGAATACTAGTAACTGATTCTGCGTGCTTTACTATTTGAATATGCTTTATAAGCATAGTTAATATTTAATACTGTTGAAACATAAAATTTGATATTAAAAAATATAAAATATAACTGCATATAATTATGCAATAAAACATAATTGAGCCGTGTCATGACAAAACCAACATAATGGGTTTGCGACCAGCATGGATCCAGACCAGCCTGCTCCTCAGCGCAGTCTGATCAGGATCCATGCTGTTCGCTCTCTATTTCTCTACTTGTAATAGGGATTGTAAGCGAGTAGCATGGATCCTGATGAGACCGCACGGATGTGCAGGCTGGTCTGGATCCATGCTGGTCACAAACCCATTATGTTGGTTTTGTCATGACACGGCTCAATTCATTACAAAATATTTGTTTAATTAATTATGAATTTTTTTATTAAAGGTGAGCACAACCACAAGAAGTTCTAGGAAACACAGGCAGTGGACTTAAAACAGACATGGATTAAAGAAATAGTAATTTAAATAATCAGAAACATTTGAAACCAATTTATGATTGAAACACTTCCAGCAAAATAATTGCAAAAAAAACAACAAAGTGTTGGATTCTAAGATTCCAAAACCTGCAGCTAGAAAAAAGCTGTTTGTGTTATAGTGAATGTAGGGTATTCTATTCTGTATTTGGACTAAAGGATGATATTTTTTTTATTAAATTATGTGACAGAAAATTTAATGTGATACATTATTGATAATTTTATCCCAAAATATGTGATCATGTTAAACTCATAAAATTCCGCCCCCTGAATTCTGTCCCAGAATTCCGCCCAGAATCTTGCTTGACAATTCCGCTCCGAAATTCCGCCCCAAGGTTCCGCCCCAAGTTTCCGCTTCAAAATTCCGCCCCAACTCATTTGCATATTTCGTCCCAATTCCGCCCAGAATCCGTTCCATTTCCGCCTGGATTCCGGTCGGAATCCGTGCCAAAAGCAAATGGTTTAACACTTGTATATTCGGGGGAGAATTTAAATTTCTGGGCGGAATCTGCCTTTGAATTCCGCTCCATTTCCGTGCAGAAAATTTCGTACAGGGGTGCTCATTTGGTAGAACAAATTAACAGTGATACAAACATGTATGTAACAAAATACATAAAGCACAACAAAGACAGTGACAATAGACAAACATTCAAGAAACAATAATTATGACTATATATTTCAATGTGTTTTATTTATTTGTTTTTTTAACAGCAAAAACAACATAAAAACAGCACAAAATTGAGCAATAAACACAGACAAAATGACAGGACATGGGAACAAAGACAACACATTAGATTATTCTGTCTTGAAACGATCATTTTTGGATTTAAAGCCATACGTCTATCATCAAAAGTAATCATTATGAATTTCAACATTGAATAGTTTGCCCATTTCCACAAAACTTAATAAAAATGTGTATTCACTTGATAATGAAGGGTTCTTTTATAACAGTGGTAGCAATCAATAGTAATATTTTTCATCTACACATGTATTTACATTTAAGTAAAAAAGGGTAAAATATCTAAAATAACTTGAAATAAAACAGAAAAAGAAAAACAAAACAAAACAACATAAGAAAACTAACACAGAAAGCACAAAAAGCAACATGCAAATATAAACAAGTCCATTAAACATAGCGGCCGTACAGGGCTGGTTCGGGATCTCATGAAATTCAAAATCTGATGAGGCAGCTTTACATCAATGTTATTATTATGCTATAAACACACTAAAATTTGTATGAAGTGTGTTGAATATAAAACTAATTTTCTGTTTGACTAAAATGCGTTTATACAGGTTAAATATTGTATGCCAATAATCAGCATTTTATCATAAGCAAGATATTATATGTGAATGTTGTGCGTTCATCATTTTAGACTTAAAATCTCAATCAATGATCCCCTGAGACAGTTCATTGAAAACTTAAGGTTTAGAACAATATTTAGGCATAGGAATGTTTTCATTCATGTCCGTTTTCTTGTCCTTTATTTCATCTAGTACACGTGTATGTGCAATCTTCCTATAACTGTCTGCTCTGGAACTGCTGGATCGGAGACAATAGAAGTGCACAAGGTGATCTACAATGCCATGTGGTGTGCTTGTAGGAGGGCATTTCTTCACAGGGCTGATAGAGAAACATGTTCTGTGTATACCATTTCTTTTCGTTTCCTTCACCAATGTTACTTCAATAGGTTTTACTTGTTCTGAAAGAAAATACGAAAAAATACCTGCAGGAAACTCAGTAACATACATGTTACATACATGTATAACATTTTATAAGAATGTCTCCAATTTTCCAGACTTTTAGCTTATTAAAAATAATTTATTCATAATCATAGCATTCTAAGATTCTGGAATAGTTGTGAATGCCAACATTGTTTGTAATCTCATAAAACTTAGTAGCAGAAGAATAGAATATGAAATTGAAATACAATTTTTAGATTTCTAATAAAATAGTCAGAAATTTCCAATAGCTGGATTCCAACACAATTTTAAATGTGCTTAGAAAAAATGTGGAATATTATTTTAAACTGGAACATAAATAGTGAATGATTTTATCACTATAAAGTTAATATTTCTTTGTTCATTTTAAGATTTATTTATCTGGGCAACAGTAATCCTATATCACCTGTATTTCAGCAAAATAACTTCTTAAAATTAATAGTTCAAATCTGAATTACTCGGGATGAACAGTGCTTAAAATATTGTCCAACTGCATCGCCAGAAATTAAAAAGTTTCAACTCTTTCTCCATAGTAAATTGTAATAATATTAATCATATTATGATGCTTAAAGAATCAACAAAAAATCAATTTCTACATACTTGCTTTTTCCCTCAATTGTGGAACACCCAGTGAGTTCTGGACTGGCAGAGGATCACACTTGCTGTCTGGTACTAAGTATGTTGAGACAAATGGTTGTGGGTCTGAGTACTGAACCTGGTGTGGTCCACGGAGGATTTCTGGTTTATCATCCAGGCTGCTACATATCCCACAAAGTTTGGACCAATATGTTTGTGGTACCTAGTAAGAATTGAAATATAAAAGGTATTTAAAATGCATAGCATGCTGGACTATTGTCAGGGCTTGGTATTAAAACAAGTCTGAACTATGTTGAGATTTTTGCAAAAGGGAAACAACTTTATAAAACTAATGTTAGAGCTATGTAAGGTATGTATTTAAAGTGAAAAATAGCTGCATGCAAACAAAGTGTAACAGTAATACATGGGTGTTCAGGAGAGCCCAATATCTCTTTGAATAGTCTAGCAGACCACAAGTCTTACTAAACTTATAAAAAGAATGTTTCCAAACAATAGACCAACAAATCGAATTTGATTTTGTCTAAAAGAAAAGCTTATCTTCATTCATTTTATTTTTTTCATCATATTTAGTTACCAAAATTCTATTAATTTATAATTCAGAAGGAGAAAAGAAAACAAACAATGAACAAAGATATTAAGGACATTTGCATCTGAATTTTCAACTATCTCCATAGACTTATGGAGAATATGGGCACACATATGATTCCTACCTTTATAGAAATTGTCTTCCCATCAGATAAAACAGATAGACCAAGGTGTGGTAATTTAACTTCCATCAAGTCCTCTCTTATTACCCTCACAACAACTGGTCTAGGACTATCCTTATATAACCTGAAAATTTTAACAAAAAGTCTATAAAGTCTGATTATGTATAAACTAGATATGGAAATGATAACTTGTTGACAGAAAAATATTTAACTGATGCATTAAAAAGCATTACGGCTGAGTGGTTACTTAATTCTTGGAGCACTACAGCAATATGTCACAGTTCAGAACTGTTCACTAATTTGGGGCATTAATTAATGTGTAGCGGCCATATAGCTCAGTCTGTAGAGCTGTGATATGGTATTCTGAGGGTCCCGGGTTTGAATCCCAGTCAGGCTGCACATTTTTCTCACCCTGTGGCAAGTAGCAAAACTATGCCACCAGCGTAGAGCTTAGGTAGAATGCTTGTCCTTGCAGTCTTGAGCAGACTCTATACAATAGGCTGCTCAATCTCAATATTTTGATATTTAAATCCCTGTAACTTCTAATGAACAGAGACAAATTCAATGCAGGAATTTGTCCATTACACAAATTTATCAGGTGATGAAGGTAGTAATTGATTAACATTTGATCAGTAAGCAGATAAAATACATTGAATAATCATAATTCTTTTAATACAATTTTATTAATTTAATATAAAAAGCCAATGTTTTTAGTATATTCTTTATCAACACACACTGCTATCTTAGACTCTCTGTTCGTTCATTAAGAGCATATATACCAATGTGACTTCCATGCATACCTAACAGTGTCCGAAGGCAGTGTAGGCAAACTTATGGGCTTTCCATCAACTTTCACTTCAATCTTTACAGGATCTGGATTAATCTCCACTTTTCTTTCCTTTGTCAGTATGGTAAGTAACTGTAAAAATATATTTTTTATTAGATAAAAACATTATTACATGAAACACAACTGATTATATATATATGTATTTTTAGCTAGATAGCAATGAATGTATGATACTTATTCGAACCACTATAAAGTTTGCTTCCCGGACCTGACCAGTACTGGCATCATATAAGGAAATGTTGCTGTGACCCAAGAAGGGCTCATGCAAACCAATAATTCCTGGGTTGAGATTAAGTTCATGATTAGCAAGTAACTTTATCACATTTTGCTTTATATTGACTGCATTATATTGAAGCAGAAAGTGACTGGCTTTTGCCACCAGTAAAGTGCAAGGCTAGCTTGTACACCAATGCAGTCTGATCAGGTTCTATACAGTTAAATGAATAAATTTTCATCCTGAAATTTCGAAATTGATAATGGGCAGCTCCAAAAACAGAATCTCAGGTCAATTCCATTAGGTTAAGGGTTAAATATACTTTTCTGGAGGAGTCCTGTGGATGTGGTTTGCTTGTGATGGACAAAGAACTGTCTGTTGAACAGTCTAAGGTTAGAACACTTTCACATGGATGGCTCCTCAGATCAACCTGCATTAACAAAGTAAAGGTAAATAAATAAATTAAATCTGATCATTTTAATGTATCATGTACAAAATAGTTATACAATAGATATGCTGCTTGGTATACTTTTGCCATTAATTTAACTGATAAAGTTAAAAGGTTCCCAATTAGACATAATCTGACAGTAAATTAGTATGTCAATTTAAACTCAAACTTTTGGTCATTACTCGACACACGATCTACTGAACCAGCTTTTCTAGAAAACAAACCAGTAATTATCAACTGCAAGTGACCAACTACTTAAATTCAACCAGAATCCTAAATTAGCACTGAGAGACATTGAATGACCATAACAGACCCAATATTCAAAATCAACATTCTTATAATAAAATCAATAAATTGTACACAATGCAAATTGTACAAATCAATATTTCCTGATTTAGTAATATATATCTTACTTCAACAGTTTTCTCCGTCAACATTTTAACCCTGTCTGGGGTGACGTGACAGGTTGCTGGACGAAGTCTGGAACCAAGGGCGGATAATACTGTATGTTCAGCATTGTCTAAGAGAGAAACCCTCTTCACCATGTCTGGTGTAGGTATATGCTGTATTCTGTTTGTCTCTGATGGCGTCTTTATCTCAACATCCATCTATGTAACAACAATACGAGTTATATCAAAAAAGGTAATACACTTTGATGTTTAACACATTATGTAACATTCATCTCTATTGTAAGAACAAGTTTAAATTGAATTTTTCAAAATAGAAGGTGAAATAGATTCATCAGATTAGTTTGAAACATATTTGAAAAGCTGTTAAACCTTATCAGAGTAAAATTTCTTCGAGCTTGTAACATAACCTCAGACAAGTAGGCCAGTTTTCCAATGAGCGGTTCTAATTATTGTATTTTTCTGCCTTTTTAGATTCATTTTCAATACAAATTAGTCATGTAACACAGACATTTTATGATTATGATTCTGAAGACTATCTTCCTCATTGTGCAGAGGGCATTGCCTTTCAAAAACATGCTTTATTTTTACTTCTTTTTTTCTTTAAGACACAAATTTAAAAGTTTTCTTTCCAAAACTTAACTGATTTGCCGCTAGTTTGTTTTTGAAAATATTTTATAATAAACATTTTAAATTGTTCAGTAAAATAAGTTTATTTGGTCTTTCTTAATGATTTTGTTAGACTTTATATATGAAACTGTAAATACCAATTTATCATCAGAGCTGAGTTCAAGTTTGACTTCTAACTGGTTCTTTAGATTAGTTTCATCAGGCATTACTAGTTCTAGCTTGTCATGAAGTTTCAGTTTCAACAGTTTATGTAACTTCCATGTTAACTCTCTCATGTAACTTGGTAAACTCTCCTGCAATACAATAATAAGAAAATTACTCCACAAATAACTATATTTTAGGTTATAAAGATAGCTTGAAAAAATTATTTAAACTACTCCTCAAGTTATAAATCATCTTACAGGATGTTTCAATCATGTGGGAAATGTTTTGTTAGGCCCTTTTTAGGATTTGACTCTTTTAACTGAAAGAAGGAAGGCAACTGTCAATCAACCTTATAAGTTTAATGAAAATGAATACTGTGCGTAATAAATTCCCTTGGAAGGCATTTTGTTAATTACCGCTAACTCCAGGCATTTAAGCATTATTATAAACAAGCACGAACTAAAGAAAGTTACCCTTACTGCATGCTGACATGCTGTATGACACATACAAACAAAACAAACTTATTAAAAAGCACATATAGAATACATAGAATAAACAAAACAAAAATAAAAACAATGATTCTAAAAGAAGTTAAAATGTGTAACATTTTGAATTTGATTAAAACAAAGAATAATGAAATTAGAAACTGCAAAATAAACATTAATGATCATGTGAAACTATTGAAAATTATTGGTTTACATTGGAAATTATGAATATTTTGCAAAAAGCATTTATTATATATACCTCATAAGCAAGAAGAACATGTAGATGCCTGTAAGTATTTATTTTATCCTTGATTGTTTTATAATCTATGGCAGTGGGGTCATCTGGTTGGCGTTTGTCACTGAGGTATCTCTGTAAAGTTGGATCCTGTCGACTGGGTAGTGACTGGTCCTGTTCCCATAGCAACTGTTGCAAAGACTTCCTCCCAAACAGCTTGAAACAAAATCAGAATAAATCATATTTTGTTAATACAATCATTTGTTTTCTTTAAGAAAAACATGAAATAATACATCAAAACTATACAAACTAGCATGTATGACAAAAATATAAAAATTCATGACTCACCTAGGCATCTTAACTTAGATAAATCAGATAAGTCCATGCTAGTTGAGTGTCACAATGTAGTCTTAGAAAAAATAATGAGATACAAAAGACACATGTGACATTTAAATTGTGACATTTAGTGGTTTTTTAAAGGAAAATTGCATACAAAACTTGATCAAAATTTAAAGCAAACACTAAGGCTTTGTATGATAGTCTTTAAATAGTCAAACAAAAATTTATCATATAAAAAATATAAATCAATATTCATTTTGAAGAAAAACCTACCCTTAAAGAAATCATTTTGCTATCAGTATCCACCAGACCATATCTGACTTTCACAACTCCCATATACATGTGTTGCCGTGGTTTCCTGGGCTGAACTGACTTACTTAGAGACATTGTATGATGGCTACTGTGTGAGATTGGAGAATCCCTCGGTAAACTGCTTGATGACTCTTGTAACAACTTTGTCTGGTGTTGCTGTCGTTGCACTCTGTCTTTAAGCTGCTGAATTGTCTGTAAGTTAAAATCATCATGACACTTGTTTAATCATAAAATATTCATCCCCTTGATGTTATCTTTTATATTCTAGAAGCATAATTATTTGATAAACTAAGACTTGTCATTCAGGGTCTGTGACCCGTATCGCTGTCTTAACCCCCAAATACTGCTTAATTTATCAATTAATGATGCACTGCTCAAGTTTAATATCAAAATATATATAAACTCAAGTGCGTTCACAGAACATCGACACCCCAACATTCCACTGTTTTCTCTGGTTTTGTCAGTATACAGACAGACAGCAAGACAAATGGACATGACAAATTTACATGCTCTCCACCCTAAGTTGGGGATTAAATAAAAAGAGTATATGTCTTATTATTTTACCTGGAGTGGTTGAAGGAGAGACAGATCAGAATGGGACTTGTCAATTAACTTTTTCTCCACTGTTCTCACAAGTTTCAGCTGGTTCTCTAGTTTCTCTGTGACAGCTTGTAGAAGGTTTTTCACCATGTCACTGCTATGATCAAGTTTTAATGTCTGTTCTAAAGGTTTTAGTATCCTGTCCAATTCATCCTGGGAGTAAAGTTTACAAAAGTTACACAATTGTACTCTTAAATCCCTAAAATATGTTTAATAGACTTACATTACTTTGAATTTGGAACCTTCCAGTATTATAACAAGGGTTTTTATTTGTTATTGATAAAATTAAACTACCCTAGAGCTGCCAACAGTATACAGAGTATGATTAGACTTGCCTGACTTTATACTGGTGCCATGTGCCAAATACTGTAGGCAAGTCAAAAGGACATTCAGAATACAATTGTAATCATTGATTTATAATTTATTAATAGGAATTTTTGACTTTTTGTATTTAATTATTTTCCTTAATCAATACAAAAAGTCACAGGCCTACATGTATGATTCAAATAGATAAAGTTGTTGTTTGAGAATATCATTGACTATGTTGCTTTATTCAATGCCTATTCAATGGTCTTCCAAAAATTGATCATTATGTACAAAAAATCTCAATCATTACAAAAAATATATAAATGATAACAACAATCTGCATGAATTTGATATTTTTGGCACCATAATGTAAATACATTGTATCATATCCCAATAAGGGTGGTAGAACGGAATGTTCTCTCAGACAAGTGATGCCAACCCTGTTAGCTATGGTTGTTATTATTTTGTCAAAGGTATACATGCTCTATCACTATCAGTGGAGTGTGATATTTATTTAGTTGTTTCTATTCTTAATTAAGCAAGATAAAGTAACAGAGACAGAAAAAAATAACGAAAACCTAGCATCCATTATGAATTTGGGTGTCTTTGGTAATATCAGCAGACTGAAACATTATGCTACCATTCTACCAGAATATTACCCTCTGACTTCATTTTAGGCTATAGAGTAAATGAATCACATAACTAACCCATTTTATTTTCCTCAGCTGCTGATCTAAGGCTTTAAACAATTTCATTTAAAGGTTTGTCGATAAATTTTCTAGAGCTGAGTATAATGTTTACCTGTGAAGAAAGAAGTTTACTCATGATATCATAGAGGAGCTGTTTATCGTGAACATTTTTAGCAACCTTGGCTAGTCTATCTGATGGTGTAGGATCATCTAGGCTGAGAAGTAACTTCCTCTGTAAAGGCCTCACTTCCGAATGTTGTACTTCAACCTGCATTATAAAAGATTAACTTTTCTTATCAGGAAAACTTTCCTCATTTTCGTAATAAAGAACATTTTGATTCAAGTTTCAAGTTTATGTAACAGGAACCTGATTCAACAACATGATACTTAAAAGGTGTGTAGTTTTTTCTCAACGCTTGCTGCAGTTATTCAACATAGAAGTGAATGCCCTATCAAAATTTAGAAACAGTTTGAAAAATTTATGTAAATTTAGAGTCAAGTTCTTTTTATGAGAATCTTAGCTGCAAAACTAAAACAATAAAGAATGGTAATGTTTCTAACCTACTACATTTGTAATTAATCCTTAAAGTCATATACAAGTTTTCAAAATAAAAAAAGGTAATGAGTTTACCAGGAAATTTTGAAGGAACTTATCAAAATAAGCCTCATTTACTTAAAATTACCTGAAATGTTATAAAGTTACCATGTTGAAAATGCTAGCAGTAAATGAAATGCCTATGCTAGCAGTTTAGCATCAGGCCAATTTCAACATCTGTACAGTTTGAACAATATCTTTACTGTTAACTGTTAAATCTTATTACTTTGATTTCAAAATCATTCAAAATAATGCTTGCAAAGTTCAAAACAAGAAAAAAAACAACTTCACTTCACTTGGTTAATCCTAAACTATAGATACCTTAAGTGCTTTTTTCAACAGGACTGCAACACCTGAAGTCTTTTCCTTTGTAAGGTATGAGGTCAGAGATGATAGGTCATCAAGATGGGTATCTGGTACAGGTAGGTCTTTTTTCCTTAATTGCTGTTCTATTTTTAGAACACTTTTAATTGTGTCATGCCGAACCTGTTCAGACTCATGTTTTAGTTTCCTGAGCATTACCAAAGCTGGACCACCCCGTACTGCTTCAAGCATTATCTTGTCTTTTGTGACCCTAATGATTCTTTCTAGTATTACTGATTGCTGAGACAAAGATTTTAAACACTTTATTAAAACAGTGCTGAAGAATGGTTTCCTTTCTGACTTAATGTCTAGTAATTCTTGATCCATTAGATCCATTACTTGTCTGTTTGTTTCTTTCACTTCATCCATTGATCTTTCTAATGATTCTATAGAAGGAAGTCTCCTCATATCGGGCATTTGAGATGGATCTTTTGCTTGTAAACTTTCCAATACTTTGAAATGTTTAACTTCAACTTTTACCAATGCAACAAGCTTATCTTCATCAACAGGTTGAATATGAACATCTGAGGATTTCCTCTCTTTTTCTACATTTATAGCAACAATTAACCTTCTTGATATAGCCTGGGATTTTCTCAACAGATCTACCTTTAATTTAACCAATTCCTTCTTCAGATTCTCATCCATGTTATCATCTGGTGTCTTAAAACTTCTTAAATCAGTTGTCCTTTCTTTCTTTTCTAACAATTTTGTATCTTTGTCAATATTGAGAAGCATCAGTTTTTGATGCAGAAGAACTTCTAAGATTTTTACTCTCAGCATTCTATCAAGCATGCCCTTCTCTAAAAGTGTGTCATCTAGTTTGTCCCTAACATCTTTAGATTTGTCATCAATTTCCCTTATTTGTTTCTTTCTGCTCTCAATACTGGATCTTGATGACTTCTCTTTTGGATCTTCAGACTTCTTCTTTGAAAGGGTAATTAGTTTTTCTTCAAGATCCAATAACATGGAATGTAATTTTCTGTCCTCTGGTTCAATTTCAAGTCTTGACTTTTGCAATTCTGAAGACTGTTTGTCCATTGAATGTATTCTTTGGTGTTCTTTAATCCATTCCAAATCCAGAACATGCATTCTTAATTTGGACTCTAGATCTTTTCTTTCTCTCAAAAGCAATAGTGGTCGCAATTTTTCCACAATCTTGTTTAGTTTCTTGTCAGCTTTCTCTTTGCTTACAACAATATACAAAACTTTAACAGAATCCTCTGGTTTCTGATCGCTTTTTGTCGTCTGGCGAAGCTTCACACTTACTTTGTCAGTAACTGATTTATATTGTCTTAGTAATTTCTTCAATGTCTCAAGTTGATCTTTAATCTTCTTAGGGTCTGCAGGCTGCCTACTAAGTTTTGTTACATCTCTGAGAATTCTCCTTTGTTGTTGCACAGCATCATTCAGTGATTTGGAATCTTCGCCCTCTGAGTTTTGTATGACATGGTTCAAAGAATCTTCAATGACACAATCCAGACTGTCCGGCTTATAGAGTTTCTTCAAGTGCTTTGCTGCCTTTGTGACAACTGCTGTACCAATATCTAGGAGAGAATCCAAATATTTCCCATCTTCTGTGACTGTCAATTTGATTTGCTCTTGAACTTGCTTTTGATATTCAATATCCAGAAGGTCTGATGGTTCCATGTTTCGCTCAGGCAAATCAAGTCTAATGTCTGTTACCATCTAGTAATTAAAGAAACAAACATGAACTTTGTCAATCTCTAGATCAATCAACTATGCAGTTTAATAACTTTTCTATAACAATTAAAAAATTACAACGACTTTTCAATATTATACATAAATATGAATTAAATAACAGTGTAAATTTCATAAGTTTGTGAAAATAAGAACAAGAATAAAGTTAGAGCACATTTGCATTTAAAAGTTTAAGATGTGATAATAAGGTTTGAAATTAGAAAGTTATGTATGACACATGATAATATAACATAATCATTTAAAATAATTTATAAATTTATTGATATTGATATATCACCTTCCATGGTTTTTCTTCACTTTGATCAGGCATCCGTTTTAGTTCTACAGTGTATAATACTTTCCTCTGAGAGTGATCTCTCTGGTAAAGTGTAGACAGCTGCACCTGATGTTTGGGTTCTGGGTTAGAGTCTGCCAAACGTACAACCAACCCACACTTACTTCCAGATTTTAGAATTTCTGTCTCTTTTGTGAATTTATTTTTCAGGTGTTTAATGGTTAAGTCCTTAAGTTCAAGATCTAGAAATGTTTCGGCATCATCTCTAAAACAAATATATAAAATATGTAAACAGTAATAATAATAAAACAAGTAAAATAATTTTCCTTTTATACATTCTCTTTCTTAATTTTATGTGTTTTATTGTTATTTATGTTCCAGGGAAAACAAAAAAAATTGACTAATGATACTGACCGATTAACTAATTAAATAAATTGAAACTTGACAAGTCTAAAGCATTTAATGAAAATGTAACTTTCACATGATATAAATCATACCAGTATTCTGAATGTGATAGCCCATAGTTATGATGACCTGAAGGTTAAAGTTAAAGACAATGATCATACTGAAAGGATACTGAATGTGTGTATATTCAGTACTGTATAATGAGTGGAATAAAATTACATTATTTATGTGAGCCTCTGGGGAGCATACTTTTATTTTATCAAACAAGTTCAGTAAATTTTTATGGCAGAAAAGAATTACATTTTATTGACACACTGATAGAGCAATGCTAAAATTTGATGCATCTTTAAGTTATGTTTGTATTTATAACACAAATGAAATCACTTTAAAATACATATATGCACAACCATTCAATACCAGTTTTATGAAGTTGCAAAAGCAGCAAGGGTATGTGGTGAAATGCATGTTTATGGTAAATAAAATGAAAACACATAGGTAATTACTGGTAATGACAAGACCTAAAACAATAAATGGTCTACTCAGGGCTACTAATATAAATATCATTCTTACATTGATCATATATATAATTTTAATTACAATGCTTATATTACCTTTCTGATAATGATTCTTCACTAGTGTCTTCAGAGCTATCTGATTCACTGTCTGAGTCTGAGAACCAGCTACCTAAAGACAACCAGCTTGATGATTTTCTGCTGGGATCTTTGTCAACTTTAGGTAAATCACTGTCTATAAAACAAATGAAAATGTCTCATATAGAAAAACCAGCATCTACAAAATACTGTTACATATTGTTTGTCTCATTAAGTAAAACCATCTAAAAATAAATTCAGTGTATGTAGAAGCATTGTTTCACAGAAGCTTTCATCCTTAACCTTCCAAATTTATGTCATAGATTTGCCTTTTAAAAGTTTAAGAGATTTCAATTTCAAAGGAGTAAAATTGAGCTACCAGCAGAAGAAGAGCCTGGTCAGGGAGACTAATCATTTTTTTAATCTAGCAGGGAAAAGGTTGACAAATGAAAAGATATTGCTAACTCTGTTGACTTGTTACTGTTTATTTGGAACTGTCAACTGCTAGTTTGAGGTATATTAAAAATTTAGCAGCATTCAGTTTCTAGTCTGGTCCTGATAGACTGTAAGTGTCTGTAATAGACTGATAACATTACTTTTCTACCTTTAAAATTTCTCTCCCTAATTTACAGAACCTGGTTTTTGAAACAACTACATAGAAAGGAAGAACTGTGTATACATAAAGGCTCACAATTATAATACAGCATTCAAATCCTAAACAAGTATAAACTCATTTAAAACTAGAACTGTGCCACATCATTCCATATTTCGTCAATCTAGGGATGAAGTGACAACTGTGCAAATCTATACTAATTTCCCCCTAAGTGTGGGTATAAAATCAACAATGACAAACAGACTCTTTAAACCATCCCCTTACATCCAATCTCCACTCCATGCATCACAGGCATTGACTCAACAGAAGTCCCTGCTGATTTGGTCTAAACATACATGTAAATTGAAATAGACAAGTCTCATGTTATGAATTTCGATGCTTTATTTCTCATCTTATGAATTACGATGCTTTATTTCTTACACTGAAATTTGGTTATAATATTTTTGTAAACTAGACCTGTGACATGCTGTATCTGTAAATCAAGTCCCGTGTCTACATGTGGCACATATTTAACATGGATCATCTGTCGTCCACTCATTGGAGGTAGAGGTACCAAGGTGTCTTTGCGCACACTTCTCATGCCCAGTATTTTCACGCTGCGCCCAAGAATATCCTTGCCAATATCGTATGAAACCTGGTAATTTTGATATTACGAAAACTTAACATTTGATGGGAAACAGAAGTCACATGATTAACAATTTAAATAAATTGTCTGATACATGTATAATGAAAAAAGCAACCTAGGCTTACTTAGGCTGAATCAAATTTAAAATCTGCATAGAAGAGGAAACTCCTGGGGATCTTTGTAACAAAAAATTTATGTTTTGTTAAAAAGTGGGAAAAAAACATATGACTGAAATTGTGCAGTGATTAAATGAATGCAAACAATCACTGTCTAGGATGGCATCTTCAAACAATTAAGCACTATACAGTAAAGGTGTCCTTATTTTCAAAGATTTTAGCATATTTTATTCAATATTTTTATTTTTAAATTTTCAATTGTGACTTTTTTTTCCTGTGGATTGGGAAAATAATAGATTATTTTCAATTGGGAATATGACTGAATATCGGCTATAGAATAAGCCAAATCAATCCCTGTTCTCACATTAGAATTTAATATAAAAAATCGCCTGGCACTTGGATCAACTGTAAATAGAAATAAAAGAAACTTGCCATTTTCAAGTCGGCACCATCAACAATTTTAATTTCTTTCCTTTCAGGAGGTAAAGGAAATTCCTCAGCGGTACTAGGAATTCTTCTGAGTTCTGTGTGAACATGTGACTTTACCTTGACAAGAGTCAACTCTCTCTGTCAATAAATATCACAACATGAAACAATGAAATATGGTTAATTCATATATCTTATCAAAAATATACAAAATCCAGACCATGATATATATTTACCATGTCTCCACTTAATCAATTTAACCTTTTGTGAACAACTGAAAAAGTGTACAAAACATTGGAGAAAGTGGATTTTTTTATTTCTATTGTGGTTTCAACACAACTGCTTCAATTATAATGTCTGCATCTGATATCAATTTGATTGTATACATCTATTTTCACTTGATGTAAAAGTACAATTAAACTTTGATAAACTGTATATATATCTGTATTTCTTTCAGACTTTTGAGACTAAATGTTTGCACTTTACCTATGCCATCAGCGTTGATGCAGTACATCTACACTAATTTTAGCTTGAAAGGCACACTATGCCTCAGAAATAAATCATTTTTTTCTTTTAAAGAAATGACAAAGATGTGTTTAGTTATGTTTTAATGATGGATTGAAGATTATTATATGCATATCACCAGAAGAGAGTATCCCTGAATGTGAAATTAACATCTTATAAATGAACCACATATCAAGCTCTAGAAAGCGCTATAGAAATTAATAAATATAAATAAAAGTGATAAATTAATTTCAAAATACCTCATCTTTAAGTTTGATAAGAAGTTTAGAACTGTCAGGATCCATATTGACAGACAAAGTAAGAGGAATATCCGAGTATACCTTGCCTTTAACACTCACACCAGATCTTATATGCCTCATTTCAACCTCCATGCGACATTTGATCTCTAATAATCCACTGCAGGAAAACATATATTTAGAAATAAAATAAAAGTAGAACTTGATGTTGAAATAATTATTTTACATGTACATGAACAAGTAAATCAAACTTTCTGATGATAAACTGGTCAGGTGATGAAAAAAGCTTGTTACTTTCATAACATTATCTGATCTTTATTCATCAAATTATATCATTCACATTTGTTCCTCTTTTATAATATTTCTAAAGTTGATATTTTAATCTTTAATTTGATATTTTATATCTTTAATTTAAATGTCAACATTTGCATTGTCTGAATAACTTACTTTAAAAATCATTGTATCTTCAAATATTTCATTTTTGGTGTTTTTAATAACACCAGTAAGAAGAATAAAATGTAAAGAGCAAATCTATCAAAATAATTTTTTACCTTGGTCTCACTTTTGTCAATGCATCCATTTTGCCAATAAGTGATTTCCTTTTTGAACTTCTTGGATCAGATTTAAGTTTCATTTCTCCATCAAGTTTTAGAGAAGCTTGTTTATCGATATTAAGTTTTAGTGGCAGACCCATTTCTGTCGGTATCGTGGTATGTAACAATGGCAAGACCAAGGTTTTCTGTGTCATCAGTAAACTCTTCAAACTTTCTACCAGACTAAGTTTATCTTTCAGACTTTCCAAGGAGACAGGTTTCTTATCGAAACCTGTAAGGAAAGAAGGAACATGGGTTGAATGGCTATATATCACATAGCTAATATCAAGTCACCATAATCCACAAAATAACCTTAATATTTATAGCATTATAATTAGTTTAGTTTATTATTCATGTGACATTGGCCTGCACCCCTATATGAAAACAAAATATCACAAACATAAAAATGCAATGAAAATACATAGAGGTGATCATAAACATACTAGTATATGGGATATTGTAATATCAGTATAAACAGTCACTTTTCTTCGTATAGCAATCGTATAGTAAAAACTAATGATTTAGTGCATCATTTTCTTTCCCCACTACATTGTTGCTCTTTTTTTCCCCTCATCTTAACAGTAAATATCAAATTTTTAAGATATTTCCATTTTTTAGTAAGGTTAAGAACCAAATTTTATAAATGTATAACTATAAAATGTTAAAAAAAACCCAGCTGTCCTGAAAGAAATGGCAAATAGTTTTTCAAGGCAAATAAATTATTAACAAGTATATTTTTAGAAGAATTGTCAATATATATGTAATCAAAAAAGAAAATATCAAATGCAAATGAACATGAAAATGAAGGTCATGAAGATGGATATAGAAAAAGAGAACAAATATTTACCTGACTGAACAAGAGGTGAAAGAAGTGAGCTTGTATCTAGGTAAATCAATTCTTTTCCAAACACTTTCAAGCCAATGGACCCTTGCAATTCTTCCATTAACTTGGGTTTGACACCAAGCTGAAATGTACAAGTTATATCAACACTTAAATTGTTATAACCATACAATAACTATTGTAACCAATATTACTTTGTAATATAACCAGAAGAGATCAATTATACAGAAACCGATATTTTCTATGGTGCTTGGCATGTTGTTCTCCCTTTTGCTTTACTTCTATGCAAAACTATTTTATATAAAGATTTTTCACTGTTTATATGGCCAAATATAAATGGGTAATGTAAGCTAATATACCCCTAGCTAGCAAATGACCATTTATACTTAATAAAACTATACAAACATTTTAAAATAAAATGACTGATATCTTTAATACATATGTATTACAATTAAACTGATTTGCTAACAATTTCTTAAATTTCAACTTAGGTAACTACTGACAATGACCTGAAAGATAAAATAAGTTATTTAGCTTAAGCATATAATCAACCATAAAATAAAACTGCAACATTGATAGACTGTTCATAAACAATCAACAATACCGACAATCAACAATTCATATAACTGAGGTTTTAATGATTTCATTACACTTGCTAAATTATAACCTTACATGAAGCACTGACTTTCACAGATTTCATATCTCTACAATGGTATATTAAACTATAGTCCAACTTTTGAAAATCCTTCATAAAAGCTAATTTATACAAAGTAAAATCATTCAATTTAACTCCCACCTTGTCCTTGATATCTTTAATCACATGCTCGTAGTCTGTATCTGTGCTCCTCTTTTGTCGAGGATGTAGAATTGTCCTCAATACTGTCTCCAATGATGTGTCCGAGGAAATCATCAGTAATTTATCTACAACTGAATCCAAACCTTTCCCACTGTAGGTCACCTGAGAAATATATAAAAACTAATTATTTTTACCTATAAAATTAAAGCATATAATATATCGTATATAAAATGCACACTAGCCCTCAGAAATAAGCATATTTTTCTTTTTTAGAAGGGCAAACTATTTAAATAACCCATTTAGAGCATGTTTGATGATTATAACCAGGGGAATGTAACGCTGAATGTAAAATAATGTGTCATAAAAGTGGCTACATGTAAACAAAGTGATATTTTGACTCCCACACAATTTACTTTTCACTATAAATGTACTAAATTCCAAAATATAAAAGATAGTTCAGCTATATGGTCATTGAGTAACTTTGGGAAAACTGTCACTCCAGGACACAAAAATAAGAAGATTTAAGAAATAACAGTTATATTACTTCCGGGACTTAGATTTTAGAAAATAATTACTTTGACACAATTGAGTTAACCATTTTCTTATTCTTAAAAAGCAAAGGTTGAAAATATTAAGATTATGTCTCTCTTCATTCAAAGGAAAATACTTTTTAGGAACAACAGGGATTTTTCATTATGGATCATCAAGCAGATATGACATAACATAAAAGTTTAGTTAAAGTAGTGTACTTTAATATTATTCTTTGACATTAATGATATAATGATAGCAATGTAAGATCACTTCAATGTCTGTTTCAGAGCAGTCACAGTAAATTAACATTTTCCAATTTTGTGTAATTATTACCTGAACAACTTCTGATGTTCTTCCTAGCAAGGAAGCTGTGTATTTTGTAGTGAAGTATGAAGGTGTCCATTCTTTTGGTGAATACAGCAAAGCAGACATGTATGAGTGTCCAATTCGAAGTTTTTCTGTAATATACAATATGAATTGATTTATTTTTCCAGTTTATATTATATTTATCTTATATCAGTATATCAGAATCAAATTAAGATACCTGAGTTTATATGTCTTAGTAATATTGTGGTAGTATAAACAGATGAATAAGCACAGGATTCTAATATTTTATCAATAAATTATTCTAATGTCCAATCAATAATTCTTTCATAGACTCATTATAAAAACAAATATTTGTGATGTACCTGTACATGTGTTGGGTATGAAAGGTATTTCACTATATCACAAAATATTGAAGTTTTACTGCTTATTAGATTTTCAGATATAATTTTTTGATTGAGAAAATGCTCTGTAAAGCTATATTACTGTATATCTCAATATGCATATGTTTTTATTGGTTCAAAGCCATACATTTTAGTTTGTCTACTATTTGTGTGTTTGCTTGGTTTTTACACTTATTTTACCACATTATTGGTCATTCTCCACCAAACTGACTTGGTTAATAATATAGAAATTTAATATAAATTATGATTACCATCATAAGTTGATCTAGCATATAATGAAGATTTGAGATGTGAGTTTGGCCATTTCTTTGCATATTTCTTTGGTAAACTGCTGTTTAATGCCCTGAATGTTAATACAGATAATAAACATAGCAAACTGCTGAAATATTCTAGCATAAACTATTAATGAATAGAATATCTTAAATATCTTAAATAAAGCACATATAAACAAGTTGAGCATGGCTTGAATTTCCGGAAAAATGGGTGTCTGTCCCGGAGATGCCCCGGGCATCGTTTGCCCCAAAAAAAAATCATGTATTTTTCAAAATTTTCAAAAATTTTTCTTAAATAAAAATCTCGCACTTTTACCTCTAGATCGAAAAACAAATCTGACCTGGTACACTAATACACAGAACTTTTGACATTTAAAAGTTTAAATTACAGCCCCCAATTATCGATGTCGTTTCCCCTCGGCAAAGATTCTTCATGCATCGGAAATTTAAACTTCTTGTTAAATTTGGGCAGCGTTTAATGGTGGTTTTATTAATTTTTTACGGCCCTTAAAAATTATCGTTAATCCCCGATAATCTTTAATTTTTAGATAATCCTAAATTCCCGGGAAAGTCCAAAAATTATGGCATGTATGATGAATAGAATATCTTAAATATCTTAAATAAAGCACATATAAACAAGTTGAGCATGGTTGAATTTTCAATCTCAAAGAGCCTTAATACTTTAACTAGAACATTGGGCAAATTTTAATATCGGAATCATATTTATCAAAAATTGCTTCTTTCAACTGCTTGTTAAGAAAACAAATTGTGATAATTAAATTCTTACAATTCTTTCAAACCATCACATGGTGTAGACAGTTTTGAGAGTTGCTGGAGAACAGTGTAGACATAATGTCCAACATTATCATTAGGATCATCTTCCAGGGATCTAACGATCATCTCTACAGGTGACGAATGACGGGATGTCAGTGCCACAGCACTAATAGCAATCATTCTAACAACATCCGGTTGTTTCCGGTCTAAACTGAGAGGCAAAAATATCTTCTTCACCTGGGATTTTTAAATTAAAGATTTGTTTTGTGTCACACTATTTATCATAATTTCTGCACTTTTTTTTTAAACGTGCCAGCATCGGATCATTTTAAACAATCCCTACCCCCAATGCATGCCTATAATACCAAAAAAAAGGATATAAACAAGTAAATATTAGACATGTGACCTGAGTTATTTTTCTTGGCAGCAATTAAGTAGGAAAAGTATGAACGTTTTCTAAAAATGTTCAAAAAGATCTAGTAAAATTCATTATTGTAATACTTGTTTTCTCTTATAACATTAGTACAATTAATTTACCTTCTCTGGGCTCTTTTCTAGCATTTGACGCAGGCTATCAAGTGCATCTATGCGAACTTGTTCTGGTTTCTTGTTGTCTTTTACAATAGTTTCCAGCCTAGGAATAAACTCCTCATATCTGAGGTTGGCCATCACTTTCACAGCAAGACGTTGACTATCCTCATCATCTCTCTTATGTAATTTCTCCACAAGCTGAATTAATAATTAACACTGTTTTAATATCTCAATGAATTTTATAACAGCTGAAAAACACTATATAGTTAACTAACTATATATTCAATCCAAGGAGTTTGTGATAACATTGGTGTGGCTCTTTTCTTGTTATTGATGTATTGGTCAGACAAAATATACAAGTTGTATAACAGCAAACTCTTGCAACATTTACTGTTCAAAAAATGAAATTACAGGAAAATTCAAGTTAAAAAAAACTACAATTTACAAATGTATTTAGTTTAGAATTCATTCATTCATGTTTAATTAATAGCATTTTGATGTGTACTCAAACACCTTCTAGAGGCCCTTACCAAGATTGTACCATTTGTATGATGTCAGCATATATGTTAATGTTGATGTGAGACATTCACATGCAGCCAAATAATGCTTTGCAAACAAAATTGTAATTCTTAATTCATTAATGACAACTTAAATGGATTACTTTGATGATTTTATCTTTGGCAGTTGTATAAAGCTCCTTCATTTGGTGTTGTTTGTTGTCAATCTTTTCAAGCCTCATGTCCATTTTTTTCCTGGCCTGCTGATCATTACTCTCAATTTGTAGCTCTTTTATTACCTTCCTCTCATTTTCCCTTTCTGACAACAACACAAACATTTAATTATGATATCTCCTGTATTAATGCATCCTATTTTTGTTCTAATTTTTTTCTCTACGAATATGTCAATAATTTGTTTTATCTAGTTTTATAATGATGCCTTTTCTTTAAAACAACTCCCAGAAAGTGATCTTAGTCCAACTTAGTAAGGTGTCAGTCCTCTAAATTCAGGGATTGTGGCTTAGATACCTACTAGTATCAAAATCATTTGTTCCCATATGACACCTAATACTTCCAGTAAGTTTTAAAAGTAAGATTTAAGAAGGTTTCAAGCTCGTATTTGAACCAGCGTAACACATAACTGGCTCAAATTGGATTTTTCCATATTTTATTTTTGGAACTCTCTATTATCATTATTGAGTGTATAGAGATAAAAATTTAAAGTTGGTTAGCCAAAGTATAGAACCATGTCAGACTGCACAGTAATGTAAGCTGGCCTGACTCCATACTGGTGGCAAACACTAATCACTTTCAGTTCAAGCAGGGTAAGACCTAAGGGTTCAAACTTAAATTGCTGGACACTGGAAAATATATTTTTATTCAATCAGTTATATAATGATTTGACAAACAGTAATTTTCCTCATATGATTAGGGTTGACATACTAGATGTACCTTTAATTGATGCAGCACTGATTTGAATCATTTTATCTCCAAGGGAACCCAATGTCAACCAGGCTGATCTACAAAGCATTGTGTCTTCCAATGTTGGGTGTGAATGCCTCTTCTCCAGATAGTCCTGAAAAAATGTGCGACATCCTAAACTGGAAAATGCTAACACATTAAAGCTTCTGTGAATATTTTATGATCACTCACTTGGCATATTTATGTTTTAGCTTCAATACTATAAATGAGGTTGAATCTATGAAATCTTTACAATGAAAACAACAAATAAGACTTGATTTTTTAAACCACATAACAAATAAAACAGTTAATAATAAACCTTAAAGGAACTCCACCAAGGTGCAATAACCTAAAATAATAAATTTTGAAATTCTTTCTTAAATCAACTTAAATTTGAAACCAAGCAATAGATGATATATAAATATACATGGTATTAAATTGATAATTCATTTTTATGCAATTTTTGGCTGATTTGAGTAAAAAGTATTGCAATGGTTTTCATTTTTTTTGGCCAATTTGCACAATAAAATTGATTATTTCTTGGAAACAGAGTGAGCGAATGATCTGAAAATTTGTACACAAGTTATTGGTCTAGACATACAGTTATACAAAAATCTTGAAAAAATATTTTCGGTTCCTTCACATCAAAAAACCTCAGTGGAGTTCCTTTTAAAAGAAAGATAAATGTTCTAATAACTCTTTTTTTGTCATTCTAATACTTCTAACCTGACAAACATTTGTAATTCCAGTAGTTTTTAAAAACAAAATTTTAACATTTTGTTCTTCTTCAACATGAGGTTTTTAAGTTTTTTTAAAGATAGTTTTAACCTCTCTAAACTAAGACTCTTGTTTTCCATTAAGCAGTATGGCAGTTTTTCAAGGATTTAAAACTTCAAACTGTTAGAATTTAATAGACTTACACAACACAAGTTATACAAAAATGTTGCAGTAAACACTGTAAAGCTATAAACTCACCATGAGTCTTTGCACCATAAATACATCAGGTTTTGGCAGTAGAGATAAAGTCATCAAGGCAAGAGATGCAGATTGTTTCTGTATATCTCCTTTCTCTATTCTCTCCAGTAAAACATCTACAGCTTGATATGTACCAACAGATGGTAAAATGTCTAAAACAACTTTCCTGATACAAAAAATTAAATATGTATTACATATTTATGAAAAAAAAATGAAATATAACTGTCACCATTAACATCAAAGGAAAATATAAATATTACAGCAACAATTATGACAAAACAACAACGCCAAAACAAACAGTAGGAAAGCAATAAAAGAATATTACACTATTGTTTTCATTAAGGATATTTTTCTTAAAGTATCCTATGAATTTATAAACATCATTTATAACACTATCTAATAGGCAAGAATAAATGATGATAAATATATTTTACCTAGTGGCGGTATTTCTTTTTTCTTAAAACTTCTTTGCATATCTTTTCCTTGCAAACACTGTCCTTCGTTTGTAAGAAATTAGTAGAAAGTGTACAACATATTAAAACAGGTTCAATAAAGTAGAGGAATCACCAAAGATTAAATAAACCATTAACCAATCTAATACTGTGACAGTATTATTACCTTGCTTTCGGCATTTTCATGCCTGACTTGAGAACATCATCAAGGATCAAGTCTAGAGTTTGTTTGTCAAGTTTCTTCAATAATCTGGTGAGTTCAGATATTAATTCTCCCACTTCCTCATCTACCTTGTCCTTCATCAGCAGTTCTATACCCATCAACACCTTCTCTACCTAGAACAGCAGCATGCCATCATAAGATTCAAGATAATTTGATAATTTTCTATGAAATTAGAAATGGTTTTAAAATAGTAAAATATTTTTCAGTTAGCAAACAAAGTAGGCTAAGCTGCCATAAAAATCCTCAATTAATACCAAAGCCTAAAAGGTCTGTCAAAATATGCTTTAATAGATTACCAGAAATGTGAAGATAAAATAGATTTTTTTGCATATTGTATGCAACAATATAATGTTTGTTGTATTTTTGAAAATTGAGGGGGGGGAGCTTAAGGGAAAAGTGTTGCCCCCCAACCCAAGTTATTCGGTTTTTTTTTTTTTAAAGGAGTCACACCACATCCTTTATTTTGGGGCATTGAAAACGGCAAAGTGTTTTTGCCCTTAAATTTTTAGCTAATCTTTGAAATTGGGTTTTGGTCTACAGACACCCGGGCCCCTCCCAATAAACAGAGAAAAAAAATATGAAACGTATACCCCCCCATTTTCTAGTTTGCTAATTTTTTTCTAATCATTTTTCCCAACTAAACAAAAAATAAAACCCTTTCCCATTTTTTTCCCCCACTTTTTCTTCTTTCCCCAAATTTCAATTTTCCTAGGAAATGGGGGCTATCATTTTGGGCTCTTGACTTAAAGGGGACGTTAAATGATCAAGAGGTGATTTTAGTTCCTGTTTGGGGTCACTGATGGGCCGGAATAAACATTTTTTAATTTTGACGGGGGATAAAAAGAAATATAAAGTCTAAATTGCCAGGAAATAAAAAGCAAAAAAAACAAAATAGTTTTAAAACGGAATCATTAAAAGTGATAAATTATTTCAAAAGTATTTTCTTTTCTTTAGAATACAAAGTGGTCTACAACTAAAAATCTTAAACTTTTGCATCCAATTGGACAATTTTTAAGGTTTGGTTTCAATCAATCAATCCATTACACTATGTCATTACACTCACAGTTTACAATAGTCATTTTCATGACCTCAATCAGACATAGGTTTGAAAGACAGAGGTTTTATTGTGTAATAACTGGCAAACATCCTGGATTTATTCACTTACTTGGAAATTGTAGACAGGGACCCAGCCTCTGGTGAGTATGGTGTGAAGCTGTACTGGGACTCAGACACTGCAGTAAGAATGAGAACTGGTCAGGGTTCGAGAAGATGAATATCTCCACGAAGACTCTGCTGATAGGTGGGTCTTTTGGCTGTAATGATATAAAAAAAAATTTAATTATTACCGAAATTTTTCAAGAGAATATAAGCTACAGAAACTCCTGTTGTTTGAGAAATAATTTTATTGATGTAATGTAAAGTATTTTTGTACAATATTTCTAAATCATACTTTGAGCAAATATTGTATCAAGTTCTGCCGCAAAAGGTAGCCATGTCCACTTCTAATTAACATAATTACTTTAATAATCAAGGGAACTTCCATTGCCTAGGTAATTGATTTTTTTGTTATATGCCTCTGAATACTGCAGATTTTAACCATGATTTTGGCTTCCTTTATGTATCCAGCTATCTTCCAAAAAATTGATGTTTTTACTGACAGTAACTTGCATCAACCTGAATAATGCACAAGGAGCCTTCTGAGGTCTACCTTGAAAACTAGCAAAGTCATCCTAACACATTTATTGAATCGTACTGTGACTTAAAACAAAACTAAAACAAAATGTTGTTCAAATTAGCAATTAGTACATTTATCAAACCTTGTTAACACAAGACTTCTTTATTCCATTTAATACCAGAGACTTCAAAGGTATTTCAAAAACATAAATATATCATTTTAAAACACCATTATTCATTTACATATAATGTCAAAAATTTTTTAAAAAATACAGAAAGGTATCAATACCTCTACATTTCTATCACAAGGTTGGCTGTTTAAAATGTCTTGACTAAAAACAACTTTTTCTAGACATCGCCTGTAATCACGCAGTTTTTGTACTCTCATACTAGGGACATCCTCGGGAACTTCTCTCAGGCTGTTTCTATCTTGCTCACATTCCCCAACAACCTTGGCTAGAAAATAGAATTAAGGTATGAGAAAAAATTAATATTTCATGGGGTTCCTTACAACTTCCAAAATGGTAGTGCATGATTAGCATTAGTAAATTCGTAGCGAATTTTGTATGGGAAAACAAAATGCACATTTGCTAAGCTTCTATGACAAATCATTTTGCAATCAATAGATGCACTTTTTTTCACATGATAATTATGGATTTATCAAGGATGCTCTCAATCCATTATTAAAACATAATAAAATGCAGGTTTGCCTTTTCTTCAGACAAAAACTTGTATTCATTACTTAGACTTTATGTGCCTTTATTTCCTCAATTATTCATATTATTCTGCTTAATTTACTTTAGAGAAAATACTTAAATATACAAATATACTAATCAGAATACACAATCCTCACTCACCTCAATCACTTTGTAAACTTTTGGGCTAGAATCTGATAAAAGGACAGGTACACCTTTGGTTAGTGATTGCCTTTCATTGAAGTTCATCTCTAAGAGACTAAGCACACCACGTTTAATGTTGACAGACCATTCTGGATCTTCATCTTCTGTGGTTAAATCCTCAACATGTCCACGTACATACCTACAACAGAATTCTTAGTCAATATCTCTGTGGATATACCTATAAACACGTATCTAGTCAAGATATCCACTGCTCAAAAATATAAATTTGTACACGAAAATATTTATAGTTACATCAGTGGATATCTTGACTATACGTGTTTATAGGTATATCCACTAATGTAACTATAAATATTTTCGTGTACAAATTATATTTGAGCATTTTTTCTAACAAACAGTAACAATTTTATTGAATTGTAAAGGTGAGCTGCTACCAATGACACTGACAGATTTTTTTCAAAATGATCAACTTAAGTCACTGGATTTCTACTGGTTTGCTCCATGGAGCATAGACTTCGATAAACAGTTGGATCCAAAGTTAACTGCCATGACCAGATAGCCTAGACATAGAAGAAATGTAGCAATACATCTGAATTCCAAATTATCAAATGCCAGAATATGATGCCCATTTGTAGCTGGACATACCATCATTTATTACTAAGAATATAGAGGAATGTTGGAAAAACAATCACGTTATCAGGTTGGTTGAATGAACCAAATTCAAATGATCTATTAACTGAATAATGGTGCATGCAAAGAATAGCTTATATACCTGGTTCAAAGATAAAAATTCAGAAATGGCAGTCATTATATATAATTATAAGACTCATGAAGGAAAAGTACGAGTAGAAACTATAGTACATTTACACTTTATTGTCAATAATATGAAGGTCAGTAATTGGAATGTAATTTGTGACCAATTTAGTTTGTCTTGTTCTCAAGGACTCAGAAGAATAGTTTGTGACATTAAAATACTTGTAAGAACGTTGAAATCGATGTAAACAAAATGGATTTATTTTTTTCATAGTAATGAAGTCATGATTGTATTCAGCAAGCAAATACTTAAAATAGAAACTTTGAACTGAATTTAGACCAAGTTATCGTGAATTGTAAATAGTATCTGCCCCAACCCTGAAAAAAATTGCGTTGTAGGAAAAGAAAAACATAACATACGAAATACGAGGGTTTTGTGAGGTGTATTTCATGTCCATGTTCCTGCGTGCTCGACACTTTCCGTTGAAAATAATTCTGTGAGGATGATAGCATTTCTTTGTGGGTCATGGTATGGGAGGTACATCATTTGTACAAACGTGGAGACTCGCTGGAAATATATATTAATTGTGTTTCATCTACAATCTGATGGATAATGACGTTTGGGTGTAAATGAGTCATAAAAGCTTTATATATATAAAGAAGATGAAGATATTGCATGATGTAAGGTCCTTAAATTTATACTCAAAAAGTTCAGATGTCATGTATTTCTTGAATTCTAAATAATTACTAGCGTTCCTATTACAATGAGTTGACTAATGAAAAGGTTTTTCATTATATAGTTAATAACATTTTTATACTAAATGAATAATTGAGAACATTTTGTCATATATGGTAGTGTGGTGATACCATGTATGTCCTCTTTGATGTCATTTTAAATGTATAGAACATGCAGCTTTTTAACCTTTATTTAAAAAAGACAGATGCTAATGTTTATTTCTTCATCAATTCAAATGCAATATAACCCATGCTAAGCAGAAAACTGACCTCTTCTCTTAAGAGTTATCATATATAAAATATTTTCATGCATTTGAAAAAGTCTGTCTAATTTTCATCATAGCAAGAAATAAAATATGTTTTCTCATTTGAACCACAACAAAACTGCTTTTTGCAATACTTTATAAGGAACATCTTAAATCACATGGTATAGCCAATCTAATAGAAATTTAATAAACACAAATTGAAACAAATATTCATATGTTTTACAAGATTAGGAAGGAAATATAACTGACCTGTAACTTGACCTTCCAGAGAGACACAACCTGGATGAGGACTTGAGTTTTAAGTTTGAGACCAGAATAAGTCTTCGCTCCCTCCGGCAGGCCGGACAGCACTTGAGAGTCATACTCGTAAATATATTCTTTACGTTCTGTATAAGCTGCCAGAGATAGAAAGCAAATAAATAAACAATAATAAATAAGACCAATCTCTGTTAAGCAGACTGCCATTTAATAACAGTAACCTGAAACATACACAAAAATCAAAAATGTTTTTCTTTATGAAATTTTGCAAGAAATAAAAAAAAAAAAAAAACAAACTATTATTTATAAATTGTAATAAAAAAGTCAGTTTTAAAGTGTTATTAAACAGTTAAGATTTGGTAGGGATAATTTATAGATGAAAACTACACATACAACTTTCATATCTCACTCCTATTTCAAACTACAAACAGGCCCCATATCTATGAAATATTTAGGGCCGGGAATTATATTCGAAAATTCAAATTTTAGACACATTAAATGGACCTTACTGTACTAATTTCAGATAGGTCTTTAGCTAGTCTTGTTAATTTTATGATAAATAAAAAATGAGCTTAACTATCAAATCTCTTTAAAAGAACAGACAGCTACCTAAGCTTTCAAAATCCTTAATCACATTCAGAAAGACTTTAAAAAAACAAACAAAAAAAACTAAATAAAAGTAGCTAGTCACAATCTGGGACCGAATACAAAAAAAGAGAGAATTTTTCCAACTGGTTACATGTAACATCAGTGATTTTCTCAGTCAATTGGGAAGAAGCCTTAGCCACTTGATTTTGGGAAAAATTGTTGCTAAAATTGCTAATTTGGGAATTAAAAAAGTAGGTTTAAGTTCAGATTTTTGGGAAAACTGCACGATTTTAAAGAAAATTTCAATTGGAAAGAGGCCCTTTATCGGAGTCTGTTATATAAGCAGGAAAATCACTGAACATACACATAATTTCATAACAAATGACATTGAATTTCCACACTGTAACTCTATAGTCATAAAAAGATAACAATCCTTGTTCAATAAGTAACAAACAAAAAATTAACTCGAGATAGATTAAAAAGAGCATACACTTACAAGTCTCTATAATGCGAGGGCTTTCCTGGCAATCTACAAAATCAAAATTAATAAGTTATAAATCTGTTGCCCAATTGGCTCTTTAAATTAGTAAGAAATTGTTCATGATGTATTGAAAACTATTTTTTTAAAGAAAGTTGCAAAAATCTATTATGTAATTTACAAAAAAATCAACGGCAAAGTGCCCGAGAATAGCTTTAAAAAGTATAAAACATAATGATAAGAAAAACTTATCTAATATTTATCAAAATTCGTGTAAAAATAAGAAGAAAAAACTTACATGCCAGTAAAATCCCAGTAGCTAAAACTAGAAATTTGTACATCTTGTGGTTTATACCCAAAACCACCACATAATGAAAATGGCCATTCTTTGGTCAACATTTGCTTTTTATACTCAGTATTTACTTTTCTACTTTGTTTATAGTTTCAACTGTTACATTCTCAAAACAAGTACAATTTGTTTGGCAGCTAAGACTGAATTTAAATGCATGGAAAAGTACTTTCATAGATGGTGCTCTTTAAATTGACTACAAAACATTTCAAAGTTAAACTGAAAATAAAAAAAATGACAATAACAGAAATAGCTCAACTTGCATGATGACTTTATTTTTTTTCTGAAATAATACATAAAACAAAGTATTTGCTATTAAAGTTTATGTAGATGGAAATAACAGGACCGGACATAGAAAATCTATAATTTAATATTTTCCTCAATTTTGAGCATTGCCAATCAATAAGGTATTGGTCTCATTTCTAAAATTATGGAAAAAAGCCATATGGCTTATTTTATACTTTTTGTGACTTTCAAAATAGATTTTGATTTTTTTTCTATAGTACAGCACAGGGGACTGTCATTTAGATAAATAATTAATAAAAAGAAAAGAGTTAAGTATAGGTAAAACATCTTAAAGATTATTATTATTGGTTTAGAAACTTAATTTAAAACAGACAAAATATTCATCATGAAATTTTCCTTGTTTATTTTCAATGATAGATATCAACAAGCGACTGTTTCATTTAATGTCTCTAAAGCAAATTATATATACATGAAAACAATTCTATAATAACTTATATATGATAATAATAACTTACATGTATATAACATAACATTGTTAACAAGTGTAACAGGCAAATGTCAGAGAAACATTTCATTGTGTGGGAATCAACGCTTTATTTCTACTAAAATAATACAGAAGCCAACATTTTTTTATAGAAGCAGTAACAATTTCAGAAGAAAATATAACAAACAATTACATTTGTATACAAGTGAACAAAAACACACTGTTTGTTTATGAAAATACTGTCAAATTCCAATGACAAAACATAAATGAAGTAGCTTAAATGTGAGAATATAAAATTGTGGTACGATATAAAAGTTTACAACAGAAAATACCAAAGACCTGTCAACAAAAGTTGCTCTACTCGGATGTAACAAAAAGAAAAAACCATTCAAAAAATTTTTTTTACAAAGGGGGAAATCGTAAAATACCCCTGCTTAAAAAGGGACTTTGGGGTCTTTACCTTTTAATAAAAAATTTAATCAGATCCCTAAAAATATTTATGTATAAAATACTAAACCATGGCATGTTTGATTACTATGATACCCATTTGTTTGTATTCCATGTATGCTTTGTAACTTCGTTAAAAAAGATACATATTTTCTGTTTTTTTTTTAATTATCCCCTAAAACATGTGTAAAAATTTCCCCAGGGAAAAATCTCAGAAAAGTAAAAAAAAATCCAGCAAGAATTTTTTTAAGCACGGGGGATTTAATTTTCAGAAAAAAAAAATCTGGGTTATGGCCTTTGGTCATCCTTCAATTTCCATGAAGATTGTGTTTGTTTAAATATTTACCACCATGCACAACATTTATTACAAATTTTCAGAATAAGTGTTTAATGTAGCAAATTTGCAAGTCAAGTATCTAGTACAAGTTTAAAGTGAATAAAAAGGAAAACAATGCAGTGAAATTCCGTGCTAGAGTTATTGGTCTTAGTCAGATAATACAAGGGTGTGTGATGCTGAATATTTGTGTGAAGTTTAAGCAATTAAAGAGACAGAACCTGCAAGCATAACCTTTACTACGAATTTTCATGAAGGTACAAAAGGTGAAGAAGTTACACCGACTAAGCCACTATTTTTTCAACAGGCTAGAAAAAAAAGTTTCTACTCTGTTACAACATTAATCATCTGTTTAATTTATCACATTTTTCATTTTATTTATTCATCATATTCAGTAAAGTATAAAACATGATAAATCTGAAACATCATAATACTTGACTTCATATCTATTTTATTCATAGACAAATTCATCACTAAACAACAAGGCTTTAAAAATGCCTATCAATATAAGATGTATTCAATTTAAATGCTGAAATTCATCAGCAGTAAAAATACACTCTCAATATCCATGGTAATATTAGCCTATTATTTCTAGAGAAGAGTTGGTATGTCTACAGCAGGTCATATCAAATTACTCAAATTTAAAAAACCTGTGTGCAAAACACCTAAATGCCAAAGAATGAATTATAACCATTTTACATTAAGCCCTCAGTAAATAATTGTTTAACTGACATTATGTTGTTAAGACAGCAAGATATCTTATAATTTATCAAAATTGTATTGGACCATCACAAAACAAAGAATTTTTACCTTAGTTTTACAACAATTGTGTTATACTCAAGAGTTCTAAGTCTATTCAAAAAAATGAAATTGATAATCTTCACAAAAATTTAATGAAAACTTGACATGATATTTTGAACCATTTCGTTATAGCTATTGACTAATTAATGATAACTGCATTCTTTTCGCTATTCCAGACTGTTCATCTCTTGATACAGTTTTCTCAGGGATTCTCGGAAGTTTTCTAGTTCCACTTCTGTTGCAGCTATGTTATCCAGGCAAGCAAAGAGCTCTTGAAGTTTTTTGTCCACTTGTAAATTCTGAACATCATAGGTCTGGTACAGTTGCTGTTCTAGGGCTTGCACACATTTCATAGTCTAATATTGGAATAAGAAAAAAACAAGACTTTTAAATTATTCAAATGATGGCTTAAATTGTTTATGTAGTTGAACAGATCTTCTAATATTTTATGGAAGAACATAAACATTTAATAGTACACAATACATTTTCTAAAATGTTTTCTTAATTCTCTATTCAAACTAAACCATACTTATATTGTACTAATATTGTAATAAACTAAGTAATATTGTAATAGTAAAATATAAAATGATTTTGACACCAAAGGCATACAAGAATATTAGTTTTGTTTGTTTGTTTTGGGTTTTACATCACATCGACACAGTATAGGTCATATTGCGACGTTCCAGCTTTACTGGTGGAGGAAGACCTCAGGTGCCCTTCCGTACATTATATCAGGCACCTGAGTAGAACCACCGACGTTCCGTAAGCTAGCTGGATAGCTTCCTCACATGAAAGATTCCAAAGTCCCGTCGGGATTCGAACCCACAGCGGTGAGGGCCAAGTGGTTTGAAGTCAACGACCTTAACCACTTGGCCACGGACGCCTCTAGCAAGAATATTAGTGACACCACTTTGACACTGATAAAAGCATTGCCTTCAGGAGTGGGAAATAATAAAATCGATTTTAAGCCTAAATGACATTGATTCTATCACTTTAAAACACCTCACAAGGTAGATGTCTATCATGAAAACTTCAAATGAAAAATTAAAGATATTGGTTGGTAAATGAAGGCTAAGGAGCATGTCATTTCAACAGAAGGACTTACAACCAATTATATTGCTCCCATGAACATTTTTTTGAGGTTACTTAAAGATTTTTTTTTTACTTTTTACAACATTTTGCCAAGCTTTAAGAATACATACCAAAGTAAACTTGTTTATTTGTTGTTTTGTTGTTTTTTTTAAACAAAATTTACATATAGACATGGTAAAACTGTAGTAAAACAAAGTGATTTATTTACATGTATGCAACTAATATGTTTTTTAAAAATTTCCCCTTTCGAAAAGGGATTCCCTTATTTGCCCCGCCCCAAAACTTTTATTGTAAGGGCTTTTTTTTCAGGGGCACCTCTAGGGGAAAAAAATTTTACAATAAAAAATTTGATAAATGTTTTTTAGAAAGGGAAACTTAAAAATTTCAAAACTGAAAAACCCTTTTAAACCCTTCTAAACTTTTTTTAAATTTTCTTTCAATAAGTTCGGGAGTCGTTTTTAGCTTCGCATTTAGCCCATCCAAAAATTGTTTTCCCCCCCCCTTTCCCAATTTTGTTTTGCCCCTAGGGTTATTTGGGAAAGTGGCTCCTAAAAGAAAATGTAACAATAAAAAAAATATATACCCGGAAAAAATTTTTTGTGCCCTTTTATTTATTCATAAGAAAAAAATATTCAACACGATACTTTGATGTTATGAACCTTTTTCGTTCCTCATAAACATACACTTTAAAGCTAGAAATTAAATTTATTGCAATTACAGTAACAATGTAATCATACATGTATATCAAAACCTGGTTGAGTACCTTATCTTAGATAAAGATTCTGATAATCAATTACTGTGTAATAAACTTAGTTTGCAGGTAAAATAATTGCTTTTTAAATGATATTTTTAAATAGCTAAAAATTGTGATTAAATTTTCTAGTTAACAATTTTTTTTTAAGTATTTCATCACATGATATGTGGCTGGTGAAAATTTCAACAAGTCAGATAATTTTTAACAATGTTTTCTAACAAAATGCACAAAATTTACCTTCAAAGTCTCATACATATTTGAAAGACGCTCAAATACATCTGATTCTAAAGTTGCAGTGTTGTCAATAGCAGAGGTTTGTTCAGTTTCTGATTCCTGATTTCTTTGCAATGAGATAAAAATTATTAATAGATAAATCACTATAGCAGTTCTCTGATAACACAGAAATGTATGCATCTAGGTTCAAATATTTGAAGATCATAATGTTGAATTTTTTCACACAAAAAATGGTCAATTCAACCACTCATTCCTGAAATTACTCTCAGAGAGAATCAGTACTGGGCTTCAGTACTCGGTATATCTGAAGTTTAAGAAGTTGTCTTATAACCATAACTGTATCAATGAGACATATAATGTATAAATTATAAAATACTGACAAGACTAAGACTGGTTTATTTACCTGATATCCTGTGGAATGCTGCTAACATATTCACTAGATGAACTTCCCTCAAAAAGCTCTGTGTCCATTCTCCAATTTCAGATAAAGAAAACAACTGTAAAAATGAAATAATATATAATATCATTATTTACAAAAAAAATAACAACCCATACCCACTACCAATCTGGGATAACAAGTGTTTGGTAATACCAGGGTATCTGAGAACAGTTTTTCAGATTTTTTTTAACTTTGAAAGGAACACTCAGAAACTCTGCTAATGTGTCAAGGGTTGTATCTGTCTTTATGCCAAAAACCCTATGCTAGCTTGCACATTATTTTCTTGATTTTTTTTTTATTCAAATAAATAATTAACAAAGAGTAATCACTGACTGCAACAAATGAAAAAGTTATACAAGAGGGCCATGATGGCCCTGAGGTCGCTCACCTGTATATAGCCCCCCCCCCCCGGGCCAATTTTTACCCAAGGGCTTTTATTTGAACAGACTTGGTAGACACCCATAAGAAGATGTTTCATGCTAAACATCTAAGTTCTAGCTCATTGGGTTTTTAAAAGAAGATTTTTTAAGTTTTTACTATACACATATAGTTAAAAACAATGACACCCCTGGGGCAGGGCCAGTTTTGACCCCCGGGCTTTTATTTGAACAAACTTTGTAGATATTTACTTAAAGATGTTTCATGTATAATATCTAAACTCAAGCTATTTGGGTTTTTTCAAAGAAGATTTTTAAGTTTTTGCTATACACATATAAGGAAAATCAATGACCCCCGGGGCGGGGCCAGTTTTGACCCCAGGGCTTTTATTTGAACATACTTGGAAGACACCCATTAGAACATGTTTCATGCTAAATATCTTAGCTCTAGCTCTTTGAGTTCTTTAAAGAAGATTTTTTTAAGTTTTTACTATATGCATATAGGGAAAATCAATGACCCCCTGGGGCGGGGCCAATTTTGACCCCAGGGCTTTTATTTGAACAAACTTGGTAGACACTCATTAGAAGATGTTTCATGCTAAATATCTGAGCTCTAGCTCTTTGGGTTCTTTAAAAGAAGATTTTTTTAAGTATTTACTATATGCATATAGGGAAAATCAATGACCCCCTGGGGCGGGGCCAATTTTGACCCCAGGGCTTTTATTTGAACAAACTTGGTAGACATTCACTAGAAGATGTTTCATGCCAAATATCTTAGCTCTAGCTCTTACGGTTCTTTAAAAGAAGATTTTTTAAGTTTTTACTATATGCATATAGGGAAAAATCAATGACCCCCCGGGGCAGGGCCAATTTTGACCCCAGGGGCTTTTATTTGAACAAACTTGTTAGACACTTACTAGAAGATATTTCATGTCAAATATCTTAGCTCTAGCTCTTTGGGTTCTTTAAAAGAAGATTTTTAAGTTTTTACTATATGCATATAGGGAAAATCTATGACCCCCTGGGGCAGGGCCAATTTTGACCTCAGAGCTTTTATTTGAACAAACTTGGTAGACACTCATTAGAAGATGTTTCATGATAAATATCTTAGCTCTAGCTCTTTGAGTTCTTTAAAAGAAGATTTTTTAAGTTTTTTACTATATGCATATAGGGAAAATCAATGACCCCCTGGGGCGGGGCCAATTTTGACCCCAGGGCTTTTATTTGAACAAACTTGGTAGACATTCACTAGAAAAATGTTTCATGCCAAATATCTAAGCTCTAGCTTTTACAGTTCTTTAAAAGAAGATTTTTTTAAGTTTTTACTATATGCATATAGGGAAAATCAATGACCCCCACCGGGCCGGGGCCAATTTTGACCCCAGGGCTTTTATTTGAACAAACTTGGTAGACACTCACTAGAAGATGTTTCATGCCAAATATCTCAGCTCTAGCTCTTTGGGTTCTTTAAAAGAAGATTTTTTAAGTTTTTACTATATGCATATAGGGAAAATCAATGACCCCCTGGGGCGGGGCCAATTTTGACCCTAGGGCTTTTATTTGAACAAACTTGGTAGACACTCATTAGAAGATGTTTCATGCCAAATATCTAAGCTCTAGCTCTTACGGTTCTTTAAAAGAAGATATTTAAAGATTTTTCTTTCGGTTGCCATGGCAACCAGAGTTCTGCATGAAATGGAATTCTTTGAACAATCTTGATAGAGCTTCATACAAAGAGTATTACTGCCAAGTTTCATTAACATTGGCCTTGCGGTATCATAGAAGATGTCCTTAGAATATTTAAAATGTGGACGGACGACAGACGACGGACGCCATTTGGTTGGCCATCCTAAAAGCTCACCTGCACTTTGTGCAAGGTGAGCTAAAAAAGAGGATAGTCCATTTGCATACACTGACATCTAAATATATGTAGATCTACATGTATTGAAGGTAAATCCATTAATCAACGCATAACTGTTAGGCGTTGATTCATGGATTTACCTTCAATACATGTAGATCTACATTCATATATAAAATGTCATAAATCTAAGCCTGAAAAAAAAGAAAATCGTTATGGCTAGTCAACATATAAAACAGATAAAATACTTGTTTATTCTTTCGGTCCGTCTTCTAACACACCACGGTCATTTTCAATTTTTCGCAGCCACTACACTTTTCGCGTAAGGTTAGTCTACTAAAAAAATTGGGGACGTGTGGTTGATCTCTGATAATATTTTTAATTTTCCCAGAGTATCCGTCAGTGAAAGAATAAACGTGAAAGACCTATATAATTTTTCTAGTTGGATATTCTAAGTTTATAAGCTTTCGTAATTTGCTGCAACAGGAAATATTTATTGTCTAATATTATAGAATATTATAACTTCCCTGCAAAAATTATGTATTGGACCGGAAACGGTGTCTACATAAAATTATTACAGAATTCGAGCAGACGACTGACGTTGGGCGGGAAGATCTGTCAAAATGAAAACATGGTTTTATACCTCGGATTGAATTATTTAGAGCAGGTTATTCCTTGTTTTAAAAAGAAATACCCGATTTTAATTCATGAAAGTTCAACTATGACAAACACTTTTCATTTTCATTCATTTCACATACCCTCGATTGATGTATATTCGCGGTATTAGGCACATTTGTGAGAAATAATATGGAAAAAAGATATATAATAAATTATACACATAATGTTTGCTTACATTTGGCCTTTTTCAATTTCAAGTCAGTTCAAGTTTCACCATTTTACACTCGTATTTGTCAGTGGTAACTTTAAATAATAAGCGTCTGTCATGACGGCCGCCATATTGGAACTGTATGTTAATTCGCGGACGACTACAATTACGTCATTGTAGGTCAAATCAGTTCACATGACAAAAATTCCAGCCTCTTTAAACTGAGAAAATATCAATTTCTCGGAAAAATGTTGATTTTTTATATCTATTTCTTATTTGCAGTTTTATTTTGTAAACATGTAAGAAGTAGTAAAAAAACTAAAACAGCCGATAAATTGGATTTTCATCTCCCCATATGACCCTCATTTCCGGCAAAAGATTTAAGTAGGTCAAGTGCTTGCACATTTTAATCTAAACATGTGATTACATCTTAAAGTTTGATGATGACATAAAAGTTATTCTGTCAATTATATTTTGGTCGGATAGGCTTAAAGTTAGACCTAATTATTTTTTAAATGAAGGAAATGACACTTTTTGCATTAGCTGATATGGGTATCCAAAATCGGTCAATAAATTTATTCATAGCCTCGGTTTGGGAAAAAAAGCATGGCTGACTGACCTTCACATCTTGAAGAAATTTCCAGAAGCGGGAATTGTTTGACAAACTTTTCTAAGTTAATAAAAATGGATTACTTATAAGGTAGATATTTGGGCATAAGTAAAATCATGTTTTTTTATACTTATTAGAAAATAAACAATAAACTGCCCATTTTTATGTGATTTGTGATGGTTTGATACACGAAACATATGTAGACACATTTTGCGAGAAATATTACGTCATTGTCGGGCAGGTGCGACGAGATTTTACGAGATTATCCAAGTATAAACAAAATCCGCGAATTTATATACACCGCGATTTTAGATACATTGACGATAAATCTGAGCCTTTTGATTCTGACATTGATTAAAAAATGGATTTATACTCGGTTCCTATGATATCACGGGTTCTAAGATATCACGGTATTTACATTTTCTGTGACTGCTAATAAAAGCAACACACGATGATGCTAATATTTTTAAAACTGGCACACTAAATTCATTTTCATCTGCCTGACTGCCAATAAATTTTTTTAGAACCCCTGGCCCTGGCTACTTGTGCTTTTCCCAAACAAAAATATTGAAGCCATTTGCTGAAGATGTCAGCATGTGACATAGATAGCTAAGGTAAAGCAAAGTAAACCTACTGGAATTTCAAAATTCCAGAAATATCCAATGTCCTAACTCTTCATTCAATGAGGTTTAATAGGTGGACTGGTTGGAGAGTTAACTCCGACACTAAATAACATATTTTTTGCAATATTTTAATTATCGTCCTGTGCATTTTAAATATTGAACCACCTAAACAAAGTTCAGTTCAAAGACTTTACATTAAACTACAAAAAATATGTATGAAAATGGAATCTGGTATCCTACCGTGACCCAAATTCGGCGTTCTCCTAAATTCGGCGATGTTTTGTTTTTCATCATTTACGTGAGATTTCAGAGGTGAAGGTCAATCATGTTTATGTCCCACGGTCTATTTTTACAACTCCAGTGATTTTCTGCGCTAAATATGGAGATACGGCTGGTAAACATTAAAAATTGTATATGACATGGAGAAAATTGTGTGTTTTACCTGATGCAATTTCAAGTTTATCTATACTTTCCTCTATTTGATTGATATTGTTGCTTAAAATAATTTGACAGTCGCCGTTTTTTATCTAATATTAAACTATTTTAACTGCCGATCTAGGTCAACATACTACGTCACAATCCCGCCAAAATAAAAAAATTACTGCAACCAATCAGAATCGCCGAATTTAGGTGACGTTTTCAGATCGTAGTAAGATTTTACATCTGCCATATTTGTTTATATTTGGCAACCGCTGAACGATTACATAGTTAGAAATGAACTTAAAGTAACTTTTAAATATTTGTAGTAAAATTATATCAAGTATAATTATAGATTACTGTAGTTTATTGAAAATGCCATTGACATTTGTTCTTATAGCGCCGAATTTAGGTTACACCGGGATACTTTTTTAAGGTCCTGAATGAGGTTTAGAAAACACAGTCTTTTTACCCCAAAACAGTAGATAAAGTCGACACTTAATTTTTAAGTAGAAAATGACTGGAAAATCATCACCAATAATTTATTTTTACATCTTATATATTTTATCTATTTTTTGTTAATATTTTTACATTTTTTCAACAATATTTCCCAAGTCAGTGGCCTGTTGTCAATACAATTCTGACTACCTTATTGTAATTTAGTAAAAAGAACGTTTTGCTACGAAAAGTTCAGGTTATTTGAAAAACATTAAAATGTTTACCAAATTATAAATAATCATCAAATTCTGTCCTGAACCTATTAGGTGACCATGTGCTTGTTTGTTGAAAAACAAAGTTGTAATAATTACATTTGTCAAGTGTCGGGGTTATCTATGTGTCAGAGTTATCTCTCCAACCAGTATGGTTTTCATAAGTTACACTGTTTTGAGTAAATAAAAACGTAAATTAGACCAATAATCAAAATATTATCATTTATCAACAATATTTTAGTACGTAATAGTTTAATACAATATATTTTAAAACTTGACATACTTTGTACAGGTAATTCACCTTATCTAAAAATATTTGATTTGAGACTGAGGCATTGTTTAAGCTTGCTTGTGCAACACAAAAAAGTACAGCAAAGAATATCTATAATTTATGTGTCTAAATAATCGGTAGCATCTTATTTACAGGAACCATTAACAACACTTTAAACTATGTTATTGGTACCACTACCAGCATTTATTTAGAGGTTGGGTTCTAAATTTGGTGCCCATCAATGTCCAAGTCATTGAGATACTTCAATATCTTTATGTTGATTATTGTTTAAATTGCAGGCCATTTCTGAGAAAAGAAGTTTGCTGGAAAAGTGTTTGATTGTAGTTCCTCAACATCTGGACAATGTAGAGGCATATATACACAAGGGAAAACTTCCTGATGACAAATACAGGTTTCCATGGAAAAGAGGTGTTTACCACTTATATAAAAAATTCACAATTTAATATCTTGACATAAATTTAGTATTTAAAATGTTTATATGTAAACTCAAATAGTAATTTAATGCATTGTGGAATGGAAAAAAAAATGAAGTTTTATCTATAGCAAAAAACATTGATAATCCTCTTAGCCTTGAGTTTAAGATATTTGTTTTATATTTATTCATTCTGAAGCTATTTCAGCATATCCTAATTGTAATCGTGTCATCATTTGTAATTTCAAGATGCAGCAGTGTAGTTAAGTCCTTATTTGTGGAATACTTGAGGTACATGTCTCAGGCTACAGAGCCGTGCATTTTTTAAAACTAAATGCAAGAAATTAATCTCGTATCTTTTCTTTCTATTTTTTTAGCAAAAAAGGATGATGAGTTCTTAATTCAGGAAAGTGTCAACATTGTTTCTGATGCTCAGCTCTTGGTCAATAAAGATGACATAAAATTAGATGTTGCCTCCTTTTCAAGGTAGAACCATTTTTGTATCAGTGATTTTTTTCTCAATGTTTTACAGCCGAGTTCAAAATAGATAAAATTTCCCCTATAGTGTCACTTATGCACTTTTGTCACTAGAACCATGACTTATTGGCAGTTGACTCGGATCAACTTGTTGATAAATTTAATGAACTGAAAGACAGAAAGCTGTTCCTGAAGCAGTATTTGAATCAGTTTAATGTAAACATGTTTAATGAGCACCACGATGTAAGAAGTGTGTGCAATACTTGAAATAAATTCTTAAATATCTTTCAGCCAAGAAGAAAAAGTAAACACACCAGTCTATCTGAAAGTGTTAACTTTGACCTGAATTGTGATGTCATTCCTAGTTCAAACCCAAGTACACAGGATCTATTCACTCCAGATGAGTTCTTTACAGAGCAAAACTTGTTCCAGGAAACATTTGAAAAAGAAAATCTTCACCATTTTTCTTCAAATTGTGGTATTGTGTTAACTTTTTTTGTTCTCGAAATGAAAAGAAATTCATATGCTGATATACATGGATAAGACAGCGATTTTTGTCCTATATTTTATAGAACAGAATAAAGGCTGTTTTAAACTTTGTAAAAAATCACTGTAAGTTTTGTTTAATATTAAATGTTTTTCACTTCAAATCCAATATAGTGGGTCTCGTTTTGTCTCTACATGTTATTATAAAATCAGCTTTAAATAGAGTTTGAAAAAATACCATTGTGGTGACTTTTTTTTCCAGAAAATTTGAAGATTGAAAGTATAGAGATTACAGGTGAAGCTGTTGCTGCCACTCAACAAAATGTACCAAACTTGTCACTCCTTGCGTCAAAGCTCAAAACTATTCATGTCAAAGATCCGTTTCTTCAAGAACCCGGCAATCCCTTAACAGAAGACACCATATTTGGGTATACATAAATAATTTTAATAACTAAAATTAAAGACTATTTGTATTTGCAAAAATCTTTGTTTATCTTCCCACCACCTGCAATTGAATTTTAATTTCAACACAGTGCATATGCGGCAAAAAAATATAATTATCTTTCCAGTTAATTTTCTTTTTATTTCTAAACCGCATGATTATAATTAATGTCTATATAACTTTGGAATTTATAGATTTTGATTGTCATATGATATATATTTAAATACAAAACCATTCTTCTGCTATGCCTGTAAAAAAAATAAAGTGAATGTAGCCTATGATTTTTATATGGCTTATCAGTTTGTGATAACATAAAATATATGATTTTGTTAAGGAATGAGAAAGGCTTTAGCAAGGAGATACCAGTTTCCATTCTTAATACTCCCTGTGATGATGGCAATTTTAAAGAAACGTTCCAAAAAGTGACTGAACCATCTACTTTAAAGGTAATAGACAAATGTAACAGTCATCTGTTTATGAAGGTAGAAAAAAGTCTTTTAGGGGCAAAGTATTGTAACGACCAAGTACCTAGCTCATTGATATTTTCGGATAAGATGTTTTATCCGACTACTACAACACTACAAACATCCGAGATCTTTCCCGGTCTCCGAATAAATAACAACCAAGATTCCCTCCGTGAATCAATACCTTTTACATATGTTAATTTATCCAATGCGCTATTATAGTCCAATTTCATTTTATATATCCATAAAATATGTAAGAAACACATTTAATTATCAATTAGTTTCCCGGCTGCAGCCATTCCGAATCTAACGGACTTTACCGTTCGCGCATGTTTAATTTCAGCCATTCCGAATCTAACGGACTTTACCGTTCGCGCATGTTTAATTTCAGCCGTTCCGAATCTAACGGACTTTATCGTTCACGCTTGTCTGAAACAGAGCCGGCTTGGGCTAAATTCTGGCACTGACGTCATCGGCTATATGACGTAGATGCCTGACCCCTGATACTATAAATACTCTGGCGCATGCAATCCGGCTGTCAGTGCCTGGATAGAACTTAGAATAGTAATCAATCCGATTACAACCTAGAAAATGCCAGCAACTCCTTATTCCAAGGTAATATAATTATTTATGACAGTTTTATTGTGCCTAAATTATTAGCATCAGATATTATATTTTCCTGACAGTTTATTTTACCCAATTGTATTGTTTGATGTGACATAAGAGAAATACCTATAAATACCAGCTTCCATGGTATTTTATTATAGATTCCATCCTGAAGTTCCAGCTACTAGTATAACCACCTTTTTAATGTAGATGTATTTATATGAACCAATATAAATATAGACCGTTTATTATAAACCATATAGATCCACATATAACTTGGATGTCATACTTAGCTACTCTACATTGATATAGCTATTCTTTGGTTTAGTTCACAGCCTTGAAGACGAGGATTATCACTAACCCCTCCAGACGTGGCCCATTGACGAGGATTTTCCAGATACTTACGAATTTAACTGTATTTGATATGAAATCTAAATAAATTATTTGTGTACTTTTATTTCAGGTTTTTGTGTTCTGTTTTTCCCTTGTAGGTTCAATTTTTAATACTCCACGTGCGTTCGAGAAGAACTCACGTCCTGGATATTGTTGCGTGTTTGGGAAGCAGACCCCGACTGCGTTTCAGTATGAAATTTTATTTAACATTAGTTAGATGGTACAAATGTTTGATAGAATCATTGTTCTCTACTTAGATAGAATAATAAACGATTGTGTTATCAGAATCATCAATGGGTAAAGTCTAAATGTTGAAAAAACTTTTGTTGCAAATAAACTTTTTATTAAAATTTTTATTTGTTAATATTGTATTTTTGTTACTTTTTCCTCTATTTGGCAAAGAAAAACATATTTTCTTTAATACTCATTTACTTTGTATTTGTTCTATAATTGTTCTTAAATTGAAGTCTAGTTAAAAAAGCAATATACTCTTACAATGCCATTTCTAGCTATTTTGTGGAAAAGGCCTGTGCATAAATTGAGAAAACTAATATTTGGCATTTTGGGAAATTAAATAAATGTTAAAAGTTAATAATCTACCTTGTTCATGACTTAAATTTTTTACATGTGCATATCACATAAGCTGTCACTTTTTTTCTCTGAATTGGAAACAGAAATTTTTGGCTGCTGTTGGGAATTTCTTTTTGAAATTGGGAAAAATGAATCTATTTTGGATTGGAAATTGGGCCTTAATTTCTGCCCCTTGTCAGATAGGGTGAAAATGCCATCTTATTAACAACAAACGACAATAAGTTCAATTACTTACAACTACTTCATAGTTTTTTGAAGCAGCAGTATGGTAATACCATTACGGTAGAATGTAAATGTTTCATGTTTGCAGGCTGAGCTGGAAGATGTAATTACAGCCCATCAAGAGTTTATAGATTCTGATTCCATTAATTTGATGAAGTCTGAATTGCTGTCATCTGTCAGAGGGAAATATACAACAGTTATTCTGACAGAAAAGGGTGAGTTATAAAACAAAACAACACACACAACACATATTGTAAATATTTTAGAAAAATATGATGAAATAGAATTGCATTAATTATTCAAGTCTTTATATTTTAGTGAAAGTAAACTCAATTAAATATCTCTTCTAACTTTCCTTTCAATTGATTGTCATTTGAAAATAAATCGAAAACTAATTTAAAAAAACTGTAAAGGTTTGATGTTTTTTATGAATTTCAACAGAAATTGGGATTACTGTAATTACTATAAATCTAGATTTTTGTGCATACAAACTCTAATTTATTTCTAGATTCCATTATATAGTTTTATTTCAGAAGTTATTTCTTGTCTTTTGGTATAAATCTTTAAAACATAACTTGTATAAAATTGATATTTATCAATGTATTATTGATTGCAATAAATGTCACAAATTTTCAACATATTGAAACAGATTGATACTTAAATTGAAAGTAAGAAATTCTATTTTACCAGTGATAGAATTAATGGCTGCTTTGAGTCTAAATGTCTTCATAGTTTCCATTGAAACATAATTTTCAGAGCGAGACGTAACATCCGTTGTATCAAAGCATGTTGTGAGACCAGAACAAATATGCATACCAACTATTGAAAAGTTTGACAACCCACCAGTTACTAAAATGAACACATCATTCTTGGAGATAAATGAAATAAGTAAGTATATAGATTGAGTCTGTGTCAGTGGTAGGGCAGACACTTTTGGATTCAGAATTCCTAAGTTTGAATCATTTTGTACACAATTCTATTCCTTTTGCACAAAAGTATACTTTTGTAATTGTAAAATGTATAAATTAATGGCATTTTGTTGACTTGGGAACCATCACTGAATTTTATGTCTCATTATCATAACTTGTGAAAAATTTCTTTTAACTAAATATATTTTAAACAAAGTATCTAGAGACTTGTGAAAGGAAAGAATAATCTGTCAAACATGAATAGTTTTAGAGATACAATTACTTGTGTTCCTTATTTTTGTGATGTTTACCCAGAACCTACAGACTTAAATGTCATGTAGAGCAAGTTTAAACAACACATCTCTGGTAAACATCAAGTTCTTGAAACAAACATTGGGCAAATACCAGTGCTTAACTCATTCAACCCTGTACACTGTCTACCAGTTAAACCCTACTGATAACTGATAAGCCAACTCCTAGGTACCTTATTGATTTTATCTAACCTGTCTCCCTGAGGGATATTGCACTGTTTTATTGACAGGTCATAAATAATAGGGGGTGCATTATGTAATTTGCCTCTGGCAATCTCATTTTTAATCCAATCAAGCTGAAATGACACATAAATATTGGCAATAAAATTACCTAATCAGTGGTGTAACTTCCATCACTATGGCAACATGTTGGACTGATTTATTATCAATAAAATAAAGAAGATTTTCAACATAAAATCAGTTTATTTGTAATAAAAGAACTTTATTTATTGTATAAATTTCTATTAAAACATTCTTCTCCATAATATAATAATTTAAAAAATATATTGAGAAATTTACTGCTAATTTACAAATTAGAAATGAATACTTTGGAAGGATTATGCAAATAAATAAGTATAGTAATGACTAATGAGCAAATATAAGTATTATGTTATGGAGCTCATAAAAACAGACAAGAAATATAACATTTATGGTGCAGAGGTGTATATACATCAGAAATTCATATTCATTAAAAAAAACTTTTATTTTCCTGTTGTTTTTTTTTTAAGAAAATTTCAAAGAAAACAATAAATAATTTATCTTTACTTCTGTGTCTAAAAGTAAGAAAATATGAGCCGGAAAAAATAATCGATATATGAAATATGAATGAAAATTGTTATATGTGTGGATTAATTTTAGATAATTTTAGAATTATATATAATAATTATAAAAATTATATATAATAATCTATTAATATAAAAATAATTACAAAATATATACAAAAACTGTAACGTTTTTACATTTTTGTATTTCTTACATTAGAACAGTTACTCTTATTTTCTGGAGCTTTCAATTACGTTACTTTTCTGGATAAAAGGAATGAAAAAAGATCAACTAAATATTTTTGTAAGACAAAATCAAAATTACTGTCTACAAAGTAGCTCAATAAGAAACACAGAAAAGAACAGTTCAAAGAAATCAAATTCATTTGAGTCCGAATCAAGATCTGTAGTAGGTCCTGGATTTGGGCCTGTGAATGGTCTCTTAGGCAATTCTGACCGATCGTTTGTCTTCCACTGAGAATATTCCACATTTTCGTCCGCACTTTCATTTTCATTTTGACTGTCACTCGATCTATCCGATTGATTCTATCTCACTTTCACTATCGAGACTAATGTCACAATCCGAATTTGCGCCATTTTCCGTGTCCGTATCAAACATAATGTAAAATAAATTCCTCCGATTTTCCATTTTTTTAACGCAATAAAACTTTTTTTCAGATAGAGATATTTCGATAAAATTTTCACTTTCGTTTAGGTAAACCTGTCAGTGATTTTTTTCACTGTATTTTACAGCCGAATAAAGGCTGTTTCCCCTAGCCCAAAATAGGTATATTTTCCCCTAAAAATGCATATATTTTCCCCTAAAATGCCTCGTGCTCTTCCTTACCAGAACCATGACTTAACAGCATCAGCTAGAAGACAGAAATCTGTCCCTATAGATAGCCTCTGCTATGTACCATGCATGTTAAATTGAATTGAAATTAATTTTTTTCATAAAATGTGTGAGTAAATTCCATTTTCAGTTGTTGGAATTTGATTTCAGGTTTCCCCCTTTTCTGATTTATCGCGCTATATTTTCCCCTTCAGAAAGCCACAGGTTGTTTTGAAAATTGGAAAAAAAATCACTGCCTGTATACTATACATATAACGCGTTTCCTGATTGGTCAAAATACCTCAAATCTAAATATAACCCGTCGAAACAACCAATGAAATGCGCCGACATAACTCGTCACGCGGTATACAGTAGTAGTTCAATACACGACGACTTCTCTCGTCATGCGGGATAGCCGATAAATTTTATACGACGACTATACTCGGGGCGCGGTACACGATTACAGATAAAGACGACGACTATACTTGGCGTACGGGTCGAATGAGTTAACTGTATGTCAAAGGCTCATTAGGTCCATGAAATAGAGATAACAATCATATATTCAAGCAAAACTTTGATACAGAAAAAAGTAGAGAACAGTTATCCTGTGTGCATAATTTTTCTAATTATATTCGATTTCTTGGGAATTTAGTTAATATGAATAAATTTGTTATTTTATTGATTTTCTTTAAAAAGCATCTTAACATCTTAAGGTTACAGTCAGTCAGTTATACTAAACTGATGATTTAATACATATATGAATTGGACAAATACTTTGTATATTAGTAACAGAGCAATTTTCTGAGAGCTGTAAAGGTATTCATGGATGGTTCTGTATTTTTTTCTGTATCTACAGTAGTTACAGAGCATGATAGACAATGTGAAAGAGCCTTACTAGACAGTCCAATGGTAAATGGATATTCCTCCAATATAAGCTATAGTGAAAGTCCTTTACCTCTTCCAGGAAGGCATAAACTTGAAATGCCGTCATTTGATAAATGGTATGTTTTATTTTTTGAATGTTTATCAATTATGAAATATTCATTAGAAATGTTATTGTTGCAGTGCTTGATGACTTTTTTTTTATTTCTTCAAGATGGTATTTTTTATGAAAGTTAACATTCAAGATATTAATGTTGTAAAATACCATTGATTTTACTGGGTGATGGTTAAGTTTTGGAGATAGGTGAAACGTTTTGGTTTCTTTTTTTTAAATAATTCATATATTTTTTTTTTTTTGATAAATGAACATGGACCTGTAAAAGTGCTTACAAATAATTTCTTAATCAATAGTTACCATGTTGATTGTGCTGCTTGTATTGTATATATTTAGCAGAAAGTGCAAATGATGTTAAAATAGAGACCAGTAACTGTAATATTTCAATTGTGAAATATTTTTTTTTTAGATATAGTAACAAGATTGCTGTTTTTGTATTTCCATAGGTTATGTCTTTTCATTTATATTGAAAAGAACAATTATGTTCAGTGATATTTGTTATTTAAAGGTCCAGTGTTTGTTTTTCCTTCTTTAGGTTTTCTTTATAACAGACCCTTTCCTTGTAGCAAAAAAGAACTTTCTTTCTCAATATACACATGTAGTGTCAAAAAATTACAATTTTGCTGTGTTTATAACACATTTTTTCAAAATTTCACTCTTTTCCAGGGTGAAAATAAAGACAGTCAAATTAAATGGTATTCTTTTTTATTTGGTACAGTTTGATTAGTGCAGAGAAGAAAGAAATTTTGATTAAAAAACTTTGGCAAAGTCAAAAGTATTGTGATGAGATACAAGCATCAAGAATTCCAGGTAATCTCACTTTAAGACACTTATACCAATTTATTTCTTATCTATCCACAAAGGCCTCTACATTATTTAGATAATAGAAATGGACCTCAAACATGTCAAAGAGAATACATGTATAATTATAACTTGAAAGTTTTTAAGTAAAATAAATACCAGAAATTTTTTGTTGCTAAAAAGTGAATCTTTGTTTAGACATTCATCATTTGTGACAATTCCATCAAGTTGTGATAGGGCTCTAGAAATGCTGTATTCTGTATTTATAATATAATAGTTTAAAATTTAATTTACAGTAAATAGATTAACTCTTTATTCTTGACAAAATCTTTCTACTATCATTATAGAGCCAGATTTATCAAATGAGGTAGAAGACAGAGAGCATGCTATTAAACAGTCTAAGATGATATTGAAGGTTAAATCTGATACAAGTACTGGGACTTCTGATTTGAAATTAAATTGGGAGATCAGCAGATACACAGAGGAGATAACAGACTCATGTAAACTAATTGTTCCATTCTGTAAAGACAACATCATTGATGATGAACCATTAAAAGATGTGGAGCCAATAGAAAAATTCTCAAGTAGAGACCTTTATGGTAAGCAAAACTCTTATAACCCAAATCATTTTTGGGAAATTGTCAGTAAAGGAGCCTATATAATAAAACACTCTGTGTAGTAATTAGTCCCCTACCGGTTTACCGGAGGGGACTTTAGGTTTACCCTCTGTCCGTCCGTCAGTCCGTCCGTCTGTCCGTCCGTCAGTCCGTCCACAAAACTGGATCCCGCGATAACACAAAAAGTACTGAAAATATTTTAATGAAACTTGATATATGGATAGATGGCAGTATGGAGATTATGCACATCTTTTTCTTTTCTTCCTATGTTGAAAATTCTGGTTGCTATGGCAACAAATAGACTGAAAATATGGCAAATTTTACACATAACCTGGATCCCGCAATAACGCAAAAAGTACTGAAAATATTTTTATGAAACTTGATATATGGATAGATGGCAGTATGGAGATTATGCACGTCTTTTTCTTTTCTTCCTATGTTGAAAATTCTGGTTGCTATGGCAACAAATAGACTGAAAATATGGCAAATTTTACACATAACCTGGATCCAGTGATAACACAAAAAGTACTGAAAATATGTTTATGAAACTTGACATATGGGTATATGGCAGTATGGAAATTATGCACATCCTTTTCTTATCTTCCTATGATGAAAATTCTGGTTGCTATGGCAACAAATAGACTGAATTTCAAGATTTCTGATTCTAGTTTTTTCACTATAAGTTCTTTATTTCTTAAGGTATTTTCTTCAAACTTTAAATATAAGTTGCTTGTAATCAACCACATCATATGTGACAAGGTTTACAACTCTAGCACAAAATTTATCAGAATTACCTCCCTTGAACTTAAAATTTTCATGAAAAAACACTGTTTTTTTTTTTTAATAACTTCTTTTTCTGAATGTATCTACTTCAAACTTCATATAAATGTTTCTTATTATCACTCAACATTTGTGAGTGTTCAATACTCTAGCAAGACTATTTCCAGAATTATGCCCCTTTTGAACTTGGATTTTTTTTTTGAGAAATTGGTAATTTTTACTCCAACTTCTTCAATCATGATAGGATTTTAAAAATGTTATATTTTGATAACAGGGATGTTTAAAAAATAACTTTAGAGTGTCCTTCAGTCCGTCTGTCTGTACATAAAAACTGTTTCCTGTGATCACTTTTAAAGAACTTTTTCAACAAATTTACTTAAAATAGGAACAGAAGTGAATGGCCAATGGCCCTTCAGAATGTTGCTTGGGCCATTACCGGTAGGGGACTTATGGATTGCTTGCAATACTATGATAATTGCTTGTTCTTAGTTGTATTGGTTATTGGAATTAAAAAAAAAATGGTAACTTTTCACATTTAGGTAATTCTATGACTAGTTGATAATCAAGTAATAGAGTTTGTTCTTTCTACCACTTTGTCAAAGGTGGAACTGTATATGTACATGTATAAACTATCATCATGATCCTCATCTATCAAATGGAAGTGTGAAAAGGTCTTTTATATTTTGTCTAATTTATAATATTTTGTTTCCATTCAGGACTTCTGTTAAGTATCTGATGCAACATCATTACAGTTTTTATCAATATTTATGAATCTTCTATATAAAATGAATTATACTTGTATATCTTTTTAGATTGGAAAGATGAAGAAATTCCACTCAAAGATGGTAAAGACAAGAAAATTGGTGCTGGTATGATCTCTTGTAACTTATTGCTTAAGATTCATTTTGAAATTTCTGATAGTAGATGGCATTAGGACAACATCAGAGTACATTTTAGACTATTCTGATGCACTCTTATGTACCAGCAATATAGCATTTTATAAAAGGAATTTCATGTTAGATTCTCAAATGATTAATTTAACAATTGTAGTCTAAACTAAGTATGTCTTTTAAGTGGTCTAAAGAAAATGTCAACTTTACTGGCCCTGGTGATAAATTAAGTAATATTTAACTCTAGAAGCCTATCAAAATACACATTACAAAAATAGTGTGGCAGAAGGTTTAAAATTTATGTTGTGACAATATTTTAGTCCAGTAGATTTATTCCATATTATATTCGAAACAAGCATCGTATGGCAGATATGATGCTGACTGGGAGTTAAGTTGAGGGAATATAGTGTTTTCTAGCTAGCTTATGGAAAATCTGTTTTTCTATGTGATGAACTTGAAATTTTAAATTATACACCAAAGTTGTAAAGTCACTGTAGGGCCATAACAGTGCCTATATGTGACTGAAATGTTGCAACCAAAATTTTCATGCATTGACACCTGACTCATAAACAGCACAACAAATAGACATATTGATTTGTTACAATTGATAGATTTTTTGTAACAATATTTATTTTAATTTACAGCTGCTGAAAAACAGGTTAGATGTCTCAAGCCACAAAAGATAACTGGTGATGTCAATCAAGGTAAAAAATAATGCATGCATAGTTTAGAAAATAAACATGTATTGCAACTTGTCAATATTATAAATGAACAAAATGTAAAAATATCTATGTTTCATTACTAAATAGTTATTATAAAGTGCATTTAAAAGTCACTTTTAGTGGGAAATAATACAATTTTCAATCATAGATTTCAAAAGTTTCTTAGTCTATCATCAGGAATAGTACACCCCTCCCAAACTCGTCTCTTCACAGGTAAGAGGAACAAGTTGCTGCTCCCATGTCCAAAAGCATATGACACCTTGTATACAGAATAATATGAAGATTATATCTAATACTAGTTTTGTTATCAAAGCATCTTGAAATTTGCTCTTATTCTGTAAATCAGTAAATAACATTGATGCATGTTTTAATTTCAGAACCAATGTCAATTCAGACATTTTCAGATCCACTGGGCAACTTCATGGTCCTACGTTCCAAGAAGACAGCAGAAAAATCTGTTAACCAAACAAGTAAAATTATTATACCCCCACAAACGAAGTTTAGGGGGGGTATATAGGAGTCAGCTTGTCGGTTGGTCGGTCGGTCGGTCCACATCGTGGTTTCCGGACGATAACTAGAGTTTGGAATGAGGTATTGTAATCAAACTTGGTATATAGCAACCTTATGTGGAAACTCCGGTTGGTATTGCATTTGGACCCCCTGGGGTCAAGGTCAAGGTCACCGTTACTAAAAATAGAAAAATGGTTTCCGGACAATAACTTGAGTTAGGAATGAGATATTGTAATCAAACTTGGTGTATAGCAAGCTTATATGAAGACCTGGGTTGGTATTGTTTTTGGACCCCCTGGGGTCAAGGTCAAGGTCACCGTTACTAAAAATAGAAAAATGGTTTCCGGACAATAACTAGAGTTAGGAATGAGATATTGTTATTGAAACTTGGTGTATAGCAAGCTTATATAAAGACCTGGGTTGGTATTGCATTTGGACCCCCTGGGGTCAAGGTCAAGTCACCGTTACTAAAAATAGAAAAATGGTTTCCGGACAATAACTTGAGTTAGGAATGAGATATTGTAATCAAAACTTGGTGTTTAGCAAGCTTATATGAAGACCTGGGTTGGTATTGTTTTTGGACCCCCTGGGGTCAAGGTCAAGGTCACCGTTACTAAAAATAGAAAAATGGTTTCCTGACAATAACTAGAGTTAGGAATGAGATATTGTTATCAAACTTGGTGTATAGCAAAGCTTATAATGAAGACCTGGGTTGGTATTGCATTTGGACCCCCTGGGGTCAAGGTCAAGGTCACCATTTCTAAAAATAGAAAAATGGTTTCCGGACAATAACTAGAGTTAGGAATGAGATATTGTAATCAAACTTTGTGAAAAGCAAGCTTATTTGGAGACCCCAGTTGGGATTACAATTAATTGAAATATTTCTTTGTACACAGTTGATAGTTTGTGTTGAAATTTTTCTTCAGACTACTTATTTTTCAAAAAGTTGCTGGTGGGGGTATTAATCACCTTCAGTGATAGGTCTAGTTTTATTTAAAAATATTTTTGTTTTTTCTGATTCATTACATAGAAAAATCAATTCAAACTCTTTTTAATTTGTTTGATGTGATTCAGAGTTTATATATGTGCAGAACGATAGTTATCAGACTTGATTACTTGGAGTTCATTTATTGTATTTATAATGTAAGTAAATGACACATATTTCTCATGTGTCTTAATTTTATCAGGTTTTATTAAAAACACAAGTTAATGGAAGAAAATATTTGTTACCTTTTAGCAAGGAAAGAGGTAAAACTTATTCACAAATGACAATATTAATTAGTCAGACTTATAATCATGTCACCTTGCTGTCACATTAAGTTAAAAAAAATAGTTAATGTTATCTCCTTTAAAGGTTTTCTAATATTTGTTGAAAATAAAGAATATGTCTAACTCTTTCAGAAGAGAACTCGGTATGTGACACCAAACTGCATGAACCTGAAAAGAACTTTGGTTGTGATAGAAACCAAGTAGTGGGAGGTGCAATAAAGTTGAAGCAAAACTTTGAATCCAAGAAGAGAGCAAAACATCATGTTGTGAAAATCAAGTTATCAGGTTGTAAAAAAGTTTTTTTTTCAAATTCTATTCAATTTGTATGGTTTACATAGACAGAGTTAATACCTAGTTTGAAACAAGTCTTAGAATTGTGTGACAGTCAATAATGATAGAATCAAATTAAAAGAAACAAAGCGGGAGTTAATGTAAATGCATCATACTGACATTCCTGTTTTTTATTTACCTTTTCTTTGTCGTGTAATTCAGATAAAATCTACAACTATATTGTATATTAACAATTAGACTAAAGATTGTGCTTCTAGAATGAAAATACACATGTACATCATAATACAAAATATGAATGTATATGTACTTGTAAATTATATACTGCATCAGTAACATTGCATTTAAGTTTTAATTTATCATTACAATATATATTTACTTTAAGTACATGTATAATGAACTGCTTTTGAAATTTTAGATGATGATAGACTTATTTATTTTTATACAGAAGATTATCAGCACATCCTGGATATATTAGAATCAGCATCTGAAAATTGCATAAATGTATTGAAGCAAGCTGCTGAAATATCACAGAGTTGTACATTTAAGACAATAACACCAGACATTTCAAGATATTTGCTTAAACAGAAAGAGAAGAGTTTGGCAGATCATGATCAAGAAAGTAAATTTTTTTTTTTTTGCCAAGTCATTACTTGCACATACTAATATATGGGAGTAAACCAGATTGTTCCTATCATGTGATTTTAATTTTGCATGTGACTGAAAGTTTGTAGTAAATATCTCATAAAGTACTTTACCAATTAATTTCTGTATTTCAAGTAATGTAGTAGAAAACTATCGAATGTAAAAGTGTATTTTAGGATTTTGAATTATTTTAAGCTTAAACTAACTATTCCAAAATAGCGTTTGCTTTGTTTTGAAACAAATAAGCATAAATAATTATTAGCAGGCACTGATTTTTGTTTGCTTTCATTAACTTTTGGAAGAGGGTGGGTAAATGCTGGTCAACAAGTTAATGCAGCTGCACAATTCATTCCATTATTAATGAAGACAGTCATGTTAAATATAGCCAGTAAAATTGATGTTTCCTGTTCATTGTATTAATCATGACTGCATGCATTCCACCATTAAAAAAATGAATGACATACATTTAGCAATACCCAAACCAAAATTAAGATGGTAGAAATTATGATATTTTGAAGTGTTCTTAGATTGTTGATTTTACTTTTGCTGATATCATAATGAGTTGACTTTTTCTAAGATTATCAGTGTTCAATCTAGAGCGCGCCATCATGCCATTGACCTCCTGAAAAGACTGGGGGCAAAACAAATTCAACTGTGGGCCCGACGTGCACTTAGAAAATAATAGGTTTCTTGTGAATAATATTAATAAATACTGAATTAAAAATAAAGTTTTGATAGAAAAACAAAAGAGCATGTAGGTAAGATAGTTACCGCGCTCGGTAACGCTTTAAAATCTCGATTGCTACGCTCTCTCAGTCTTCAAATCGCCACCAGGTCTATAAATACTCTGCAGACTTATTCCTTGTATGTTAACTATTACTTAATTATTATGTCACAGTTTATATAAATTTATTATTATAAACAAAGCAAATCGTTTCAGATAATCCAATACATGTGTGTAAAACAAAGAAATGTGTAATAATTTTCCAATTTACAAAACAGTGTCCATTAATATAAATTATTACGAACACGCCTTACTCCAATTAAAAGTCTATGAGATATGAAGCTAAATCAAACACAATTGGCTAGGGAGTGTCTGACAATTGAATGAAGTAATTTTGATTGGTCTTCGGTTGGTCCGGGTGCTAAAACATTGTGCATATCATTAATCAATACAAACATCTTAAGCGTGACGTAAGAAGCTGCTGCCCTGACAAAAGATCAAATGGACCGGTATATATGTCAATGTACTTTGTTTTTGCACCTGTTGATACTTTTTTCCGTGTTGATATATTGAGACGGGTAAATATTTTTAGCGAGTGTATAAGTATATATTCTTCATCAACATAGTGAAATATTTTTTGCTAATTGCAAAATATGATTTTCCTTTACTGTATATCAGCCGCTGATTAAAAAAATGAACATTATTATCAAACATTCCTGGCAAAATTTATATTAGATCCTTTATATGTGATAGTTTCATACTTGAAAAACTATGTCTTTATTTCTCTACGAAACAGTTCTTAAAAATGAGCCCCGAATCACTGCTAACAGAACTCTCAAAAAAATAGCCCCTGGGAATTCATTCTAGATTGAACACTGGATTATATATGTTTTGTTGCAGATTCCTCTGATGAACTCTACAAGATGACTGTAATTCTTCATGGTCTTGTTATGGCATCTGAAATAACAGTCAACTGTTGCCTTGAATCAGGCATAGGATGTCTGAGTGCACTGCAAGAAAAATACAAACATGTTATTGGATGTAAGGAACCATTTACATAACATAACTAAATATAGTAACAGTGTTGATTTTGGGATATTGTATAATTAAGATATATAAAAAGTATAGAAAATATTTTGTATTTGAAACAGCATGAGATAATATTGTTTTTATACCCCCGAAACTAAGTTTAGAGTCATCCGGTGGTTGGTCCAGCGGTCCGTTGCATTTTCCTTGTCCGGAGCATAACTTGAAGACTAATGGTTGGAATTCAATATAACTTCATACAATGGTCAAGCTTATTGAGAGGAAGTGCAGTGCACAAGAACCATAACTCCATCTTGACTAATCACAGAGTTATTGCCATTTGTTACTTTTCCTTGTCAGGAGCATAACTTGAAAACTACTGTTTGGAATTCAAAACGCTTTCATACAATGGTCAAGCACAATAAGGGGAAGTACAGTGCACAAGAACCATAACTCCATCTTGACTAATCACAGAGTTATTGCCCTTTGTTACTTTTCCTTGTCCGGAGCATAACTTGAAAACTACTTGTTGGAATTCAATAGAACTTCATACAATGGTCAAGCACATTGAGAGGAAGTGCAGTGCACAAGAACCACAACTCCATCTTGACTAATTGCAGAGTTATTGCCCTTTGTTACTTTTCCTTGTCCGGAGCATAACTTGAAAACTACTTGTTGGAATTCAATACAACTTCATACAGTTGTCAAGCACATTAAGTGGAAGTGCAGTGCACAAGAACCATAACTCCATTTTGACAAATTACAGAGTAATTGCCCTTTGATACTCTTCCTTGTCCGGAGCATAACTTAAAACCTACTGGTTGGAATTCAAAACAATTTCATACAATGGTCAAGCACAATAAGAGGAAGTGCAGTGCACAAGAACTATAACTCTGTCCAGAGTTATTGCCTTTTGTTACTTTTCCATTGCTTTTTACTTGTCCAGAGCATAACTTGAAAACTACTAGTTTGAATTCAATACTATTTCACACAATGGTTAAGTATATTGAGAGGAAGCACAGTGCACAGAAACCATAACTCTTTCTTGACTCATTTTAAAGTTGTTGCCCTTTGTTACTTTTTATTGTCCAGTGCATAACTTGAAAATTAATGGTTGGAATTCAATGAAACTTCATACAGGGGTCAAGGGCATTGAGATGAAGTGCAGTGCACAAGAACAATAACTCTATTTGGACAAATTACAGTTATTGCCCTTTGTTACTTTTTTTGTCCAGTGCATAACTTGAAAACTAGTAGTTGGAATTCAATACAACTTCATACAATGGTCAAGTGCAATTAGAGGAAGTGCAGTGTACAATAACCATAACTCCATCTTCAGTATTTATAGAGTTATTGCCCTTTGTTCCTTTTCCTTGTCTTTCTGCACTTATTACAGAGTAATTCAAGAAAACTTCATCAATGGTCATTCACATTGAAAGGAAATGCAACATACAAGAACCACAACTATCTTTAATTGCCCACAACCATAACTCTATTTCAATTCTTTTACAAGGTATTCTGTTACTAGTAACATCCTCATTTCCGAAGCAGTCTTGGGGGGGGGGGTATTAATCACATTTAGTGGTAGTTCTAGTTTTCTTTAAAGTTAAAAATCTTGAATAAAAAACAGGACTAAAGGGATAATGGAAAGTGTAACATCTCTTATGTCCCCTGGCACCAGCTTTAGCTGCATTTAATTTTCAAATTAATGATCCAAAAAGACCTGCAGAAACTTCTTAATATTAAGCATTGAAGAATTGTAATGAGAGGAAAATATCCATCTCTTTTATTTCTTAAATGATCAAAATACAAATATGAAAACTCCCTATGATGTGTTTTTTTTGTCCCCCGCCTTTTCGAAGAAAAAAGGGGGATATAGAAATAGGCTCCGTCCGTCTGTCTGTCCGTCCGTCCGTCCGTCTGTCCGTCCGTCACACTTTCGTGTCCGGTCCATAACTTTGTCATTTATGAAAGGAATTTGAAATAACTTGGCACAAATGTTTATTATAATAAGACGATGTGTCATGCGCAACAACCAGACCCCTACCTCCAGGGTCAAGGTCACACTTGCTCATTCAAGGTCAAAATTGCCTATTTGAGGGTATATGTCGTGTCCGGTCCATAACTTTCTTATCTATGAAGGGATTTTGTAAATACTTGCCATAATTGTTCACAATAATCAGACGATGTGTCATGCGCAAAAACCAGTCACCTACCTTCAAGGTCAAGGTCACACTTGGAGGTCAAATATTAACATAGTCTGTTACAGGGTATATTTCGTGTCCGGTCCATAACTTTCTTATCTATGAAGGGATTTTGTAAATACTTGCCATAATTGTTCACAATTATCAGACGATGTGTCATGCGGAAAAAGCAGTCACCTACCTTCAAGGTCAAGGTCACACTTGGAGGTCAAATATTAACATAGTCTGTTACAGGGTATATTTCGTGCCCGGTCCATAACTTTCTTATCTATGAAGGGTTTTTGTAAATACTTGCCATAATTGTTCATAATAATCAGACGATGTGTCATGCGCAAAAACCAGTTGCCTACCTTCAACGTCAAGGTCACACTTGGAGGTCAAATATTAACATAGTCTGTTACAGGGTATATTTCGTGTCCGGTCCATAACTTTGTCATTTATCAAAGGAATTTGAGATAACTTGGCACAAATGTTTGTTATAATAAGACGATGTGTCATGCGCAACAACCAGACCCGTACCTTCAGGGTCAAGGTCGTACTTGTTCATTCAAGGTCAACATTGTCTATTTGAGGGTATATGTCGTGTCCAGTCCATAACTTTCTTATCTATGAAGGACTTTTGTAAATACTTGCCATAATTGTTAACAATAATCAGATGATGTGTCATGCGCAAAAACCGGTCACCTACCTCCAAGGTCAAGGTCACACTTGGAGGTCAAATACTTACATAGTCTTACAGGGTATATTTTGTGTCAGGTCTATAATTTTTTCATAGATCAAAGGATTGTGAAAATACTTCGCACAAATAGTCACTATAATAAGAGGATGTGTCATGCGCAACACCTGCATCCCTACCTCCAAGGTCAAGGTCACACTTAGAGGTCAAAAATTAACATAGTCTGTTATAGGGTATATTTTGTGTGGAATCTAGAACTTCTTCATAGTTCAAGGGATTTTGAAATAACTTGGCACAAATAGTCACAATAATAAGACGTTATGTCATGCACAACACCTGCTCCCCTACCTCCAAGGTCAAGTTCACACTTAGAGGTCAAAGCTTAACATGATAGATTTTTAAATTCCGTGTTTCATTTTATTTTTTTAACAAATTTATTGTTACATTTGCAGATCTAGCATTGATCATAATTTTGGACTGAATGTCCTGAGATCCATACCTCAATCTTTTGAAATAGCACAATTTTATGCTTCATATAAAACTCCCGGGGCGGGGGACGTTGGTAACTCTGTTACAAATTCTTGTTCAATTTAGTTATGAGAAATGAAATTGAATTGTTCAGAATTCTTGTTGTAAAAAAAAATACTGTTTTCTTCTTCTTTTTATTAATATTTGAAGAAAAAAATCATATCTTGTTGGAGAAGGGGGAGGTAAAAATTAAAATGACTGTGAGAAATTTTCTTCTAAAATTGCAAGAATTTTGATATAGTAAATAATGATCACACACCTTATAAAATGTCATCATCTAACTTCCAATGTTTGAATCATGTGATTGTCCAATACAAATCGACAATATTGTACTCAACACAGTATAATATCCTTTTAGTATAGCTCTAAGATTTACATAAAAAATCTTATTTGTGCTGCAAAGATATATATGTTGAATGTATAAAGTTTTTTTTTACTTTTCTTTAACTTTGAAGCCAACTTGGATAGCACAAGACAAGTTTTGTTTGAACTTAAAGCACAGTTTTATGAGAAGAAAATTTATCATCCAAAAGTTGTGACATTATGCAGAGAAATTGAAACCTGGCTAAAGAAAAAGAGAGCAAAAACAAAAGATTCAGAGCAAAAGGTGAGTTTTATAAATTTGTGATGTGTAAATTGATGGTGCTCTAATTTGGAAACTCTGACTGTTAACCAAATGCAGAAGCTATTATATGACTTCATTATCTTTGACAGCAACTAAGTTGTATTTATTAACAGCTTTACCTTTTGTTACAAATTAGTATTTCAGGGTTGTGTTTTTTGTAAATAGTTTGGCATGTCTGAAAGCATACTGACATTATAAGTATAAATATTGTTTTAAACAGGTACTAAATACTGTTTTAAACAGGTACTATGTTAGTTTTACCTATCTGTACATATTGCACTTTTTCTCAGTATTGTTGTACAATCATATCATTTTTTGCTTTATCAATCATTACTTAAATTTAATTGATCTATTTTAATAATATTTGTGTATATATGTTGTGTATATGTTGTGTACATGTTAACTGATTGTAATAATGTTATGCTGAGGCCCACATAGAAGATCGGGAAACTGAATGTGTAAGCCTCGTTAAATAAAGTAGTTACTTACTTACTTACTTATTTACTTACTATTAATCTTCAATAATTGAGGTCATTATTAGTGTCTTAAATGGGATTAACAATACGCTAGCCTTATATTGAAGAAACTGAAAACTGACACATGCTCCGTATAGTACCCTATAGGGGACGTGATTGACAAATAGGCCTTCTAGTATGTATTTCATAAACTGTATTAAAATGTGGATGTTTAATTTGATTGCTATATTGACATAGAGCTCTTTTGATATTTATAAAATAGTGGTTGTTTACTTAGTTTGTGTTTTTATTGCTTTATGGCAATATTCATAACAATTCATTACTTCCAAACAGGTGCCCATAAAATTCGAAAATATCAGGTCAAGTAGCTTTGCATGAACAAAGTCTAAAATAAAAATTTCTCTCCAATTTATTTGCAAAATGATGCGGACTTATTCGCGCAAACAAATATTCGCACTTCGTGGCCATCCGCGAATATTAATTGGTCGCGAATATTCGTTGGGTTACAGTACCCCATTTAGAAATTTCTTGCTTCTTGTGAATTCTTATAATGAAATTTGTAAGCATAAACATACAGATAGTGTTGAATTTATCCTAACACTTATACAATGTTGTTTCTGTCCATGTTTTGAAATCACTTGTTTCCTTTTCTGAGCAGTTTCTGGGTTATTGATATTGATTGTAAATTTCAGATCTTAGTTCTGGTACAGAGGGACATACCTAGTTTGCTGAGTTGTTTGAAAAAAGCATTAAACCTTGGTAATTTGCTAAGTCCTTGCATATTGTCTTCATCTGAATCAGAACATATAATAGATAGGTGAGAAGATTTTACAATTCCTCACTTTTGTCAGATGTAAATGTGTAATTGTCATTTGATTTCATATGAAATTTAAATCAGCAACTATGAAATTGTAAGAACAATCTGTCTTTTTACAGTATAATCAATTTCTGGCGAAAACATAAAACTAATGATCAAGAATACTTTAGTACAAAGTATGAATGTCATATTGTTCATTTTTTAACATTGTTTATTGGCACAAGATCCATATACATTACTTTATCTATAAAAGCTTTCAGATAATTAAAATGATTGTCAACAATGACAATTTCTTCTTTCAATGTACATTTCACTTTGTTTTAGCTTAGATAAACATAATTGTGTAATTGCACCTACAAAGATGGTTTGTGAAAATTTCCCATGGGCGCAGTTCAGCCTTGTGGTAGAATATGAAAATGAAACATCATCACAATGGCAACAACTTTGTGAGAGGCAGCATATACGACATATTGGACTTTGTATACAGTCAGACAAACATAAAGGTACACATTCAATAGGCTCTGTTCATATACTTTTTATCTTTCTCTCCTGTAATATGAAGCATTTTCTATGTTTGATTTCAATTTTTTATATATATATGAATTGAAAAATTTCCAAATGGTTTTCTTTTTTTTTTCATCCAAAAATCCTAAAAATAAAAAGAAGAAAAAAACACACACACACACTTGCACATGCATTAAAGACTTAACATGTATATAAATACATATAATAATATGTATATGAGTAGCTTTCAAATTGAAGACAATTTAAAATGCATTCGTCACCATTCCTGAAATAGAAGTATCCTACTCTTAAAGAGATGAATAAACTTTAAATGATAAATTAATTATTATTTGGTAATAGTTTTATTATATGCCCGAAAGAGTTTTGCGCATATTATGTTATACCCCTGGTGTCCGTCCCTTAGCAATTTGGTTTCAGGAGCATAACTTAAGTTCCATTTGGCCCACAATATTCTGCATAGGATGACTTTCCATATTGGGTAGAAGACCCCTATTGATTTTGGGGTGACAAAGGTCAAGGTCACTTACCATATAACTGAAAACAGTTTCCGGAGCATATCTTAAGTATTAATCAACTTACAGCTATAAAATTTTATAGGATGTACAGCCATGTCCAATACATGACCCATATTGATTTTAGGGTCATAAGGTCAAAGGTCGGGGTCACAATGATCTTTACACTGAAAATTGTGGTTTCTGGAGCATAACTTAAGTTCCATTTGGCCCACAGTGTTCAAACTTCATAGGATGATTGTCAATATTGAGTAGAAGACCCCTATTGATTTTGGGGTCACAAGGTCAAAGGTCAAGGTCATTATCACCTTAAAACTGAAAACAGTTTCCGGAGCATAACTTAAGTTCCATTTGGCCCACAATATTCAGACTTCATAGGATGATTGTCCATTAACTTAATTTTTTTAATTTATTAATTATATGACATGATATTTTAATTTGTTAAACTGTTATTATATATATATTTATTACCCTTCCAGATTTTTTCCGCCTTTTTGATTGGATATTGATCACCCGAAATAAATTGATATTACCGAGCCAGGGTGGGTAATATACACACTAAATTTCCCCGTTGGGTACCCCGCGTTGTAAACAACATGCGCTGTGGCGATGCGCGTACGGTTTGATTTTACGCGATGTAAATTCCGATTTACAAGCACATTTTAACTGTCAAATGATAAATTTTTACCAAAATAGAGTAATGATACATATTCTCATTAGTATTGAAAACAAATATGACCTTGTGAAAGCTTGATATTAATTCCAAAAAAGTGCGTTCAGCAGACTACTCCTTTTCTCTTGTTTACATTTGTTAGGTTTGAAAGAAAATACGTCATGTATTTATGTGACGTCATGTTGTGGTAAAGGGGTAACCTAAAGGGAATCTTATTCCGACGTTTCATTTGAAATAGCAATGATTTATTTTAAAATCATCTTAACTCGGCAGGGGAAGGGTAATAAAATTATTATTTTGGTTTTGGAGTGATATATGTGGATATATTACCTGCCAAGATCAAATATCACCCTCGCCTAACGGCTCGGGTGATATAAAATCTTAGCAGGTAATATATCCACATATATCACTCCAAAACCAAAATAATATATAATGTCCTTTTTATGTAACTGTAATCTATGAGTGTGTTTGAACACGTATTCATTGATAAATGCACTTCAATTTAATTTAAGTATAATGCAAAATATGCATTAAATCAAGCAATAACAATTTCTACATTGTACATGCGACCTGTTCTGATAACATCAAACTTACATGGCTACAAGAATTGATTTATATTATATTGTCTAATGGCACTCCTAGATGGCATCTTTATTAACATCATAAATAAGCATATTTGTAAGGTTTATTGGAAACATTAATCGACAAAACAATTTAAATATATCTGTTCTCCATGGAAAGGAAGGAAATTGCTCTTGCAGAAAGAACATAAAATTAATGACAAATGCATAAAATATGGGATGTTGAATGCATAATGACCATTTGAAAATAAATTAGTAAATTAATTTCCTCTAGCCTAGTTTTAATTGTAAAAAAATATACACGTGTTAATATCCAATATTGAATGGGACTGCGTGCAATAGAAATAAGTATATGAACATATACTATGTTTTTTAAAATGGTATAATTATCGCTGATATTTTTATTTCGGTTTTATAATAATATTGTGAAATATCGAAGTCTTGTTTAATTATATACTTATAATGCTTATCTATGGGTTAGATACTAAAATTGTAAATATATTGATATCCAGGAAATTCGTAATTAATATGTCTGACTTGAATAAAAGAATGCAAAACGTATGTTTGTTCCCTGTATCTGGCCAAGTCAATCTTGTCCTTTAAAAAAACTGCCAGTTTTGTAATGATACTATATATTTATACTGTTAGCAAAACGCCGTAACATACACCGTTTAATATTGCATAAGTTATATTAAAATGAATATAATTAACAAAATGACATTTGAATTATTTTGCTGATTTTGTTCTACCTCGTGTATATACTCCATATGTAAATGTGTACTATACAAGAACTTAACCTTATGCAATACATGCGAAATAAATAGTTAAGTATTTAAATACCACTTTTCTGAAATCAATGTAACACATAATGACTACTCCAAGAATACTTAAATCTTCTCTAATTGCAATAGAACGTAATGGAATTACATAATCACTTTTTGTAACTATTATAATTATGTGTGATGCTGATTTTACAAGATGTACTTTAGATAACATACAGTTGGTAATTGTGTTTAAACACATTCAAGTTACCAGTACTTTCACTTTTTTGTTTACAATTACGTATCAAAAGGGTTCTTTACAATCATCTAAAGAATGCAATTTGTAATTATGATTGTGTGTTAAGATTTTTTTTGTGAAACAAGAGTTGTTTGTTATATATTCTCGGTTTGTCTTAAATTTTTTATTCTGATCTACAGTCTTTCGTACAATTATATAATATTGTAGTAAAATTTGTTTGTTCTTGTTTACGTCACACCCACATTTTGTCACCTGAATGAAACTTATAATCATCTAAAAAGAGTATATATCTTTTCATATTTATACACATGAATACTACTGTTGTTTAAGACCGTTCAATCAAAACCGCTTGTAATATGTAGCCAAGGGTCACCGGCAGGGCCTTCGCTGTTGGGTCTTGTGGGGAATTGGACTCGCTGGTGTAGTGAGCGCCCTACACGGAAACCCTCGGTTGGTTAGGTGTGTGTGGGATACTGGTGTATTATTATTTTATTTCTCTTGACCGCGATATCCAGTATCCTCTTTGTTATGATGACTTATTTAATAACACAACACGATGTCCAGTTTCAAGTAAATTCTATTTAATTTTCTCTGTGATGGAATACTTTATCAAATATGAAATAGTTAATAATAATGTCCACAAATATATATTTTCACAGCTAGCACCAGAATTTGCCTAAGTTAATTTTACTTATTTATTTTCTAAGATAAGACTATAAGATGTTGTAACTCCAAAATACAAAATAAGACTTTTAGATGTTGAATGTTCCCAGATCAAAATAAGACTAATTTAAAATATAAAAAGCAACAATATAAATTAAGAAAAAGTTGTCATAGTGATTAAGCCTTAAGCTAAATTAGTAATAAATGTCAAAAGATAATCAAGTATGGCTTGTTTGATAAAAGACTAGGAAATTGAGAATTAAGCCATAAAGTATTAAAATCAAAAGGTGATAATATTTCCTTATTGACCACTATGACATGTTTATACTAAAGTTGTAAAATTTATCAGTTAACCCTTTCCCCCATGAGCATATTATGAAAAATGGCCGTTTTCACTGAAAAGCCTCCTGTTACAAGTTCAAACTGCTATGAAACTATGAAAAATGCTTCAATACTTATCAAACTTGGCACAAATGTTGACTGGACCATTGCCTTTGTAACGACATGCTCAGTCTTAAATTTCTTGTTACCATGGCAACGAGGGGACATCTCAAAATTGCCAAAAATCACTATTTTGCCTTGATTTTTATGCCCCCACAGAGTGGGAGCATATAGCGTTGCACTTGTCCGTCCGAGTGTCAGTCCGTCCGTCAGTCCGTCCGTACGTCCCGAAATCTTGTGAACGCAACTCCTCTTAAACCGGATGGCAGATTTGCTTAAACTTACAGGGATGAACAACCTTAATGTGTAGATGGTAGTAATGGAAGGAATTTTCGCTGCGACTAAATTTTACAGAATTATGGCCCTTTGTTGATTTTTTCACTAGATACTATGAAGAAATTTTGTGAACGCAACTCCTCTTAAACCGCATGGCAGATTTTGCTCAAACTTACAGGGATGAACAACCTTAATGTGTAGATGGTAGTAAAGGAAGGAATTTTTGCTGCGACCAAATTTAACAGAATTATGGCCCTTTGTTGATTTTTTCACTATATACTATGAAGAAATTTTGTGAACGCAACTCCTCTTAAACCGCATGGCAGATTTTGCTCAAACTTACAGGGATGAACAACCTTAATGTGTAGATGGTAGTAAAGGAAGGAATTTTTGCTGCGACCAAATTTAACAGAATTATGGCCCTTTGTTGATTTTTTCACTATATACTATGTAGAAATTTTGTGAACGCAACTCCTCTTAAACCGCATGGCAGATTTTGCTTAAACTTACAGGGATGAACAACCTTAAGGTGAAGATGGTAGTAAAGGAAGGAATTTTCGCTGCGACCAAACTTTACAGAATTATGGCCCTTTGTTGATTTTTTCACTATATACTATGTAGAAATTTTGTGAATGCAACTCCTCTTAAACCGCATGGCAGATTTTGCTTAAACTTCCAAGGATGAACAACCTTTATGTGTAGATGGCAGTAAAGGACGGAATTTTTGCTGCAACCAAATTTAACAGAATTATGGCCCTTTGTTGTTTTTTTCATTATATACTATGTAGAAATTTTGTAAACGCAACTCCTCT